ACAGAACTGATTATCCTCTCTGTCATCAGACGTGCAGGGATGTACAAGTACTGGCGAGATCCACAGTAAACTCAGAGAAGAGTACTGTGACATAGTCTGAGGTAATATATCACAGTAATGCTAAATACTGTCATATTGCCCAGTGATATTAGCCTTATCACTCATATCACTAATGTTAGCTTGTTAGCTTGTTGCTAAGAATACTTGCGCTCATTTGTAGCTTGAACATATAGAGGATTAGTAACATGTAGCTGATTGGATGGTGTCCCATTATGACTTCATCTCATTTTATTTAATCTTATTTTACCAGTTGGTTGATTTTTCCTCCTGTTTCTTCTTAAACTGTCTGTTCCAACATGTTTACAAACATTAGAAAAACTGAATATCTCGATACGTATTGTGTATCGTGAGTATCGTGATACTATGCTTCTGCTGTATCGCCCACCCCCAGGACCCCAATCAGAAAGTGCTCATTATGCAATCATTCTTCACACAAACACACACACACTCATACACACACACACACACACACTGCACCCTGAGCTGATGGTTGTGATGTCACAAGGACTTTGATCCTCGCTCAGTACAAACTGCTGCACCTCCTTCAGAGATAAAACAATCACAGCTCCATCGAAGTTCAGATAAGTCACTCAGCGTCTCTCTCACACTGGGAGCTGCTGTTCACTGTATTCTCAGATGAGTTCAGTGAATTTTTCACCGCAACTCCAAAATAAACTAGCATATAACAAAAATCTACAAATCTGACAGACAGAGTGAGGAGACAGTGACGCTCAGGTCTCCTCCTCCACGTGCTGGACGGCTTCTGAAGACGTGGTTTGTCACCTTAGAACACGTTCAGCGATAAGAAGGCGTTCAGTGATGTAACACACGTTTACTATTAACCACAACACTGAGAACCAAACCCCTCTGCACCTCTCAGCAGCGTCACTGCAGGAGAGCAGAACACCAACTAACACGGCACAGTTAACACAGTTAAACAGGTTCCAGCAGAACACGCTTTGGGCCTTTTCTCATGTTCCACAGTAACATCATGTGTGAACTCTGACACGTTCCTCCAGATTCACCCTGAAGACTGTTTCACACCGTAAAACTAACTTTTTCCACCATGAGTGTTTGAGCTGCACAGAAATCACTCCTATATTAGTTTAAGCTCCTCTCTGTATGTGTGATACAGCAGCATGTCAAACTCAAGGCCCGCAGGTCGGATCAGGCCCATGACACAGTCCCATCCGGCCTGCAGAGGTGTTTTAATTTTCTATTAATATTAGCCTGTTTCACACTGCGCTACAGTCCCCCCTGACTCTCCAACCCCAACAGCACTCTATTTCTACACAACTCTACATAGTTCCGCACCAAACACACCAGCTGCATTTCAACTGCAGTTCAACCAACATCGACCCCCAACGTCAGCTCAGCAGCTCAAAACTGAGCCAGTATTAATGAACGTGCAGCAGAGAAAAGAGGCGTTTAGTTCAAGCAGACAGGTTAGTTTAAAAGACTGAGCTCCTGGGGACGTTTACATTTTCAATACTTCAAGATCTATTATACGCGCCGAAATTTTACTGCTGAAGCTTCTGCATATTTTGAATAATGCCAGTCCGGGTTACAGCACAACATTAATTACAAATGAAATAAACATTTTCTGTGGCCCAAAGACTCGCTGAGATTTTTTAATATGGCCCATTTAGTGGTTGAGCTTCACACCCCTGATTTAGAATCAGACAGACAGCTCACAGTGAGAGCTATACAGGCCAAACCCAGATAATTAGAGTCCACTGACGGCCCACTGGCGGCAAAGCTGGTGGCCCACTGGTGGTTAAACAGAGCGTTAGACAAAAACACTCTTTTTTTCATCGTTCACAGCCCAATTTACTGATTTTTACTCAATTTATTTTTTTCATTATCATTTGTAAATTAGTTCAGTAAATAATTGTAGCATTAATATGATAAATAAAGCCAGTTACACAGCTGTAACCGATCCAGCACAGCGTCAGTGACAGCACTTTCACCTAAATCACTTTATATCAGGCCAAGTCATTATTTTTTTCTCAGTAGTTTATAATATTAGTCTTATTTGTTTATTTTCCAAAATAAAAGTCTCTTTAAAGAGATTAAAAACCAGACCTTGTGTGCTGGACAGTAATCTGGGTGGTCCAAGGGTGGGCCAGCAATGACATACAGTCAGCGGGGGGGCACCTTATCAAGCCAGTGAACCAATATATGCTACTATCTGGGGAGTGCAGCCTCCACACGGGGGGGGTTAGTTTAACACGCTGTTACAGCTAAGACCCCTAGAGTAAACAATGAGAACTACATATTATATCCCCTCATACACATTCACTACTGTGAGGTTTCTAGGACGTTTTTGTTAACAGAATACTAAATGAATGATGTGTTTAGGCTGGAAAGCTTGTCTGGTTCAAACAACACCGAACTGTACTTAATTAATTGTGTTTTGGATCAGTTTACCAGACTTTAAATATAAATCTGTAATAAAAGTCTAAATATCTACTCTGTAAACATTTCGGTTGACCATGCAACACCACACAAACACATAAAGCAATGATATTTTTAAATTTTCTCTCAAAATTACTCCCAGTCCAGCATCATATAGTGTGGTTTCTTATATACTGCATGATTTATTACACTTAAACAGACAGCAGACCAAACACACTTTACACTGCAGCACAATTTAACATCAGTCACTTTAGGCAAGAACCTGTTTCTGCTTAGCTAATGACATAAATACATGCGTTTTATATGATAGTAACTGTACCTACATTGATTATAGTAGAAATGAAACAATCTATCAGCTACTTTGATGATTAAGTGAGTAATCACAGGTTTTTAAAATAAAAAAGGCTAAAAATAGCAAATCTGCAGCCTTTCAAAGGCTCCAACTAACATCTTATAAAAGCATTTAAAACATACACTGTGTAATAAAAAGGCATATAAACAGATATGCTTTATGTATCTTTATATATCTATATACTTGACTGTAACAGAGCAGTAGAAGGATTTAGAACACGCATTAGCATCATGCTAACTGTCAACAAATCACTCCTAATCCATCAAAAAATGGGAATTTTAATCAAATATTTGTCAAATCATAAACCTATTCAACCAGTTGATCATTAGATCCCTAACTGTGCTGCTTAACCTTTAATATCTACTTTTACATTAGCACTCAAAAACACGCTAGTGGCTAGTAGCTGTAGACCCTTGATCAGAATGATTGACTGGTTAATCAATATCAGCTAAGCTGAGGATGATTAATCCTCATAAATGCTTTTTACAGTTCAGTTTAATGGAAATATCACATTTAATGGAGAAGGTAAAGCAGTCTGATGATAAACTGAGGGAATTATGACACGTGTTAGCTAATTTAACAGTGAGCGCTCCTCACTAACCGCCCTCAGGCTCGACACCATCACCATCATCATCATCATCATCATCATCGTCATCATCATCACAGGCCTCAGGCTGTCTCAGGTGCGACCAGGTGAACTTTATAAACTCAGCACTGAAATCTCAACAAAATCTAATCAGACTCAAAAACAGTCGATCGGTAGAACAAATTCGCTCCACTGATTAGCATCAAATGGAGAAGCTAGCCTGCTAAAGTAAATACAGATTAACCCCTTAAACTCTAAAGACCCAGACTAAGTCTAATCCTAGACTGAAAAGAACTTCCAATGGTGATTCACCATTAGCACTGCCGTTCAGTCCAGGCCCAGACTAAACTCATTAACATCTCAGGCTAATTACACACAAAGGCTCATTATTCAGTAACCACAGGGACTTCAGTGCAAACTAGCTGAGCTGTTAGGCTATGGAAGTGTGTAATAAAATGTGCATTAAGGGTTTAAATCATGTTTGTGAGACAACACTAAAGGTCTGTATGGGGATCCTCAATCTCATAAAAACATATATGTATAAATACACATTTGTTTCAGGGTAAATTAATATTTCATAGCAGTCACAGGATAATGCAGAATAAATATTAAACAATTCATAATGGTTACTTAACAATTCATAGTAGTTACTGAATGAATTATATAGTTACTGGTTACTGAATAGACAGTGAATAATGCACAGTAAATATTGAATAATTAATAGTAAATAATGGATCATTCATAGCAATACTAGATACTCACAATTCATAGTAGATACTGAATAATTCATAGTAGACACTGAATAATTCATGAGTTACTGAATAATTCTTAGTAGATACTTAATAATTTATAGCAGATACTTAATAATTCATAGTAGACACTGACTAGTTCATAGTGGACACTGACATTATACGTTATAGTTCCATAATAACAGTTGTCAATGCTATAAATTACTGAATAACAGCTCATTCTATTTTTACTGTTTACAGTAAACGACAAACAACACATCCTAACATCTGCAGGAGCTTCTACAGGTTTCCTGTAAGAGCCTCACAGTCCGTTCCTACAGACTTACACACACCCTGTACACATCACTCTCACAGGCCGCCTTTACGTCTGAACACTGAACAACATCAGTCCAGTTTAACGGGTCAGCTCTGTAGTGAGAGAGAGCTGGACATTTGATCGGGAGACTCACTGCAGCAACCCAGCCCTGACTTTTAACACGGAAGCGTCGCTTCTTCTGCAATAAGTCCCTGTTTTTCAGCTCAGACTCACTTTCCCGTCTATATTAGACGATTTAAGGTGGGCAGTGTGAGTTACAGCATGATAAAACACCCTCAAACGAAGCTGAAGTTGCCTTTTTATTCGAATTGTCCGTTCCACCTTAAATGGTGCAGCAGCCACATTCGGGCGCGAGGCGCCCGAATTTAACTGCTGCACCATTTAAGGTGGAACGGACAATTCGAATAAAAAGGCAACTTAAGCCTCTTTTAAGGCAGAAATAACGCCCTTCCTGAGCGGGGAACGCAGGAACACCCCACCAAAATAAGCGCAGAGGGACCAAACCCAACAGCCACTCACCATTTCTTAGTGCATTCAAGGATAAGTTCCTGATAGGAGGCCACGAACTGAAATCGGGTGGCTTTCTTGCCCACCCTCTGCAGTCTCTTCCACACCGAAGTCATGCTGCTAATCCTCTGAAAGGAGCATGGATGGAGGGATGGAGGGATGAAGCGAAGGGATAGAGGTTCACTGCAGTCTCCCTCTCTGTCTCTCTGTGATCAGGCTGAGCTCCTCACGCAGCTGCTGAGGCTGAGGCTGAAGCTGAAACGAGGAAATCCCCAGAAGCGCAGCAGCCAGAGGAGCAGAAGTGAAGGAGGATCTCCCTCCTCGCGCAGCAAAACGAGAACGAGCAGCGCGTGGCTGCGGGGCGGAGTGTGCGCGAGAGGGGGAGCACGTCAAGCAACGGAGCCCGCAGTCAGAGCTGATGCAAATGAGATCAGCTAAAGGAGTGCAAACACAAACAGATGATAAACGGTGCAAACTTTAATATATATAAATATACAGAAATGTGCACACCTAACATAGTGCGCATGCATTAAAGGGGAATTCCACCAATTTTCCAAACTTTTCTGCATAATTAAACAGTTAAGATTCTAGATAAGTCGTTCAGAGTGGTTTGAAAACATTGTTTTATGACAGTTTAGGTCTTAAAATCCATTCATGGTGGAGGGATACATGCAGGGCGCTGTGAGGCAAAATAGTCCCCAAAGAAAACTTATTATTTCAGATTTTCCACTATTTTCCATCATCAACATTCCATATAAACTCAGAAGACTCGTGTAGGTTCACTGGTGGTTCTGGATAGTAAATAAAATGTCTATATTTGTGTTGTAGTCATGGCGACCCCTGGTTCCTATCAACACCACTGTAAAGACACCTGAACCATTTCACACCAAACCACTCTGAATCTCTCTGTTTGCATCTCACATGCTGAAATTTCAGAAAATCGGTTGAGTTCTCCTTTAATATGTCTCGTGTCAGTGTAGGGAACTTTAAGTGATTTGTACCCGAGCTCTCTCCAGCACTGCGCTAATATCAGTGTTGATTATATTTGATATAATCTTCATCACCATCGTCTTTGGCTTCTTCCTCCTCCTCATCACTGTGATAATGACGGTGTAATGAACTTTCACTGGAACTCTAACCATAACTGTAATTACTGCAGTGTTTCTGTTGTCCTGCCGCTGTGAGCTGTTATTACAGAGACGGGTTTGAGCCAGTAATAACACCTTTATGCCCATTTAACATTTAAACACTAAACAGTGTCGGCCGCTGTTCTGAATGAGGCTCAGCGCTTCACCCAGCGGCTCAGACGTTCAGACCAGCTCAGTTTAATATAACTCAGGCTGCTGTGGGTATTTTAAGGCCAGGGGCCGGGGGGGGCTGGGGAGCCGGGGGGGCGGGAGGCTGGGGGGTTTCCCAGGTTACTCAGGGCTATTTTAGAGTGAGGACAGAGGGATGGACAGACAGAAGCAGCTGAAGGAGAAGGAATGGAGTGACGGATGGAGGCGGGTGGGGCAAACGGCACACTCCAGCTGACCTACACTCCAAATAACAGTCAACATTCACCCCCACCGTCCACCACACACCCCGCCGTCCACCACACACCCCGCCGTCCACCACACACCCCACTGTTCATAGTTCACCCTAACGTCCACCACACACCCCACCATCCACCACACACCCCGCCGTCCACCACACACCCCGCCGTCCACCACACACCCCACTGTTCATAGTTCACCCTAACGTCCACCACACACCCCGCCGTCCACCACACACCCCACTGTTCACCACACACCCCACTGTTCATAGTTCACCCTAACGTCCACCACACACCCCACCATCCACCACACACTCCGCCGTCCACCACACACCCCACTGTCCACTGTTCATTCCGCCATCCACCACACACCCAACCATTCACTGTTCACTCCACCGTCCACCACACACCCCACCGTCCACTGTTCACTCCAGCATCCACCACACACCCCCACCGTCCACTGTTCACTCCACCATCCACCACACACACCCCACCACATAGCCCACCATCCACCACACCCCCCACCGTTCACTACATACCCCACCATCCACCACACACCCCCACCGTCCACCACACACCCCACCATCCACCACACACCCCCACCGTCCACTGTTCACTCCACCATCCACCACACACACCCCACCATCCACCGTTCACTCCAGCATCCACACCCCCCCACCATTCACTACATACCCCACCATCCACCACACACCCCCACCGTCCACCACATACCCCACCATCTACCACACACCCCCACCGTCCACCACATACCCCACCATCTACCACACACCCCACCATCCACCGTTCACTCCACCATCCACCACACACACCTCACCACATACCCCACCATCCACCACACACCCCCACCGTTCACTACATACCCCACCATCCACCACACACCCCCACCGTCCACCACACACCCCACCATCCACCACACACCCCCACCATCCACCGTTCACTGCACCATCCACCACACACCCCACCACATACCCCACCATCCACCACACACCCCCACCATCCACCACACACCCCACCATCCACCACATACCCACCATCCACCACACAACCCATCATAAAGTGTATATAGTTATTGTGTATATAGTGTCTATAGTCATTGTGTATATAGCCTATATAGTTGTTGTGTATATAGTTATATAGTGTATATAGGTATTGTATATATAGTTATTTAGTGTATATAGTTATTGTGTATATAGTTATATAGTGTATATAGTTATTGTATATATAGTTATTTGGTGTATATAGTTATTGTGTATATAGTTATATAGTGTATAGGGTTATATAGTGTATATAGTTATTGTATATATAGTTATTTGGTGTATATAGTTATTGTGTATATAGTTATATAGTGTATAGGGTTATATAGTGTATATAGTTATTGTATATATAGTTATTTTGTGTATAGTTATTGTGTATATAGTTATATAGTGTATATAGTTATTGTATATATAGTTATTTAGTGTATATAGTTATTGTATATATAGTTATATAGTGTATATAGTTATTGTATATATAGTTATTTAGTGTATATAGTTATTGTGTATGCAGTGGTGCAGTGTTATTGAGAGTGCTGTTGAGCGGACCCTCCCTGCTCCGGACCGCTGCAGGGTGTGTGAATATTCGAGACATGATTAAACACGCAGCATGCACACACACACACACACACACACACACACACACACACACACACACACACACACTTACCCAACAGCTGAAACACTCACACCTCGCTATAATGAATGTAGAACTCAGAGCAACAGTGTTGGTCACTGAGTCAGACTGAAACACTGCCTCAGTGTCTCGGTACCAGAGCAGAGACAGACCACCCTAACAGACCCTCAGCACTGAGAGCAGCTCCACACAAACAGGAAACACCTTATTTATTTGTTCATTTATTTGTTTGTGTATTTGTCTCCTTCCATTCTAGGCTAATAATACAATGTTAATAATAAAGGTGCCTCAAAGGGTTCTCTGAACTTTTTATCTTGGACAGCCAGTGTTTATGGTGGGCCTGCAGGGGCCAAGAAGACAAATACAAATAAAGAAGGTGAGAAGGATTCAAACCCAGTTTTACAAATGTGTTTTATTACATTAAACCATATTCTGTTACTAAAACACTATAATAAGAATTGAAAAAGTTATAAATAGTGTAAAAATATGTTCTCTCACTGAGTGGGGCGCTCACTTTCTGGTGGGGTCAAACCTCTCCACAGGCAGCCCTGCCAAAGAAGAACAACTTTTGGTTCTATAAAGAACGTCGTTTGAAACAGATTTCTGATATGAAGAACATTTTAAAGGTTTAAAGAACCTTTACTTTAAAAAAACCTTCTTTATGTTCAGTGTAAGTCAACGTAAAGAGATTTTGTTCCAAGCACTTTTGGAACATTTCTATCGGCCCAGTCACCTTGGAACCTTCACACAATGTAAAGGACAGCTGCCGAGTTCAGATGATCAAGGAAAGTAAAAATCGGAAGAAAACTGTTTTCCTTTGAACAGTGATGATGTAGAAGTGTGATGTGTGCATTAAAGCACCATTACAGTCAGTTCAGTTCATTAAAGCCGCCTTAACGCCATTTAAACCTCACAGCCTGAGGGTCTTCAGGCTCCAGTAGTCGAGAACCAGCAGAGAACATTAAGTGAAGGTCACAGTGATCAATGGGGGATTTCTGACCGCAGGGTGGACTTGTCCTTTAACAGACGCTTCTCTAACAATATCCCTGCATCTGTGCTTTATTAATAGAATGCTGGAATACCATTCCCCATCCGCTCCTCGCCATCAGCCCTCCGACAGCCCAAATATGAGCACTTAGTCAGAGCCGAGGAATTCTCCCCACCGAGACTCTGAGCGGAGCACAGTTAGCACAGTTAGCGTCGGTCAGACACCCTGAGAGGAATTCCTGCCTGTTTATTTGGTCTCACAGCATCAGTTCTGTATCAGAGCTGCAGTTCAGAACTGATCATCCTGTTTCTCCCATCTCACCCAAAAATAGTCCATCAGCCGAGACGCGTTCAGCGTCCGAAGTTCAGCCACTGCTTTAGTTTTAGCGCTGGAGCTACGAGGCTAATAGCCACACGCTTAACAGAGATGTTTCTCTGTTCTCTATTCATGAGTTCTATATAGAACCTTTCTGAAAAAAGGGTTCTGTCACTGTTACAAGCTTGACACTGTAACAGTAGTAGAACCGTTTTTGGTGCTATGTAGAACCATTTTGAAAAAGGTGCTATGTAGAACCATATACAGCACATTGTCCATCAATCTGAAGAACCATTTCGACATGCAAAGAATCTTTGAAGCATTGAATGATCCTGGATAGAACTCAAGGTTCTAAAAAGAACCCTTGAAGAACCATCATTCTCAGAGTGTAGCAGGTAATGGAGGCGAATGCTTCACTGATTAGCGAGGTGCTAACTGTGCTGTCAGAATTCAGGCTGCTGCTGTTTTCAGCTACGCAGCTTCAGTCCGTGTTCATAGTTTTGCCAGCTGTGATTGTTTTTCCATCAAACTGAGTTTCAGCAATAAAAATACAAGTTTATTTACAATTACAATTTATAATAATAAACATTCAAATTCAATTTTATTTACGAGTTTAACGACATCATTCTAACAGCGCCTGGTTTCCTCAGCGCTGCTCTGCTTCTGTGAATGATCAAGATCGCGATGATAAGCTCGTGTGTTTGTTTACACTCAGCGGATTTCTAGATTGTGATTGGTCCGTTGCTTTAAACCTCCTGAAAAAGCCAGTGTAGCTCAGAATGTTTAAGTAGTATTTCATTTAATAAGGTCCCTAAACTCTATAATTAATGTAATAAGTGTGCTGTGTCTCCACACATTCAACACGTAAAGTAATTAGACTGGATCATAAGGTGCGGAGGTGGAGCGAGTTTCTCTGATGTGTGAATGAGGAGGAAAAGCTGGAGTGGAGTGATTACAGAAACGGAGCGGAAACGTCTGCTGCTCTGCTCACATAAGCGGGTTTTTTGCGAATTTTGAAAATGAGCCAAAAAAAAAAACGAATAGGAAAAGCCTGAAATTGGGAAAAACACGCAAATATCGCAAAGTTTTTATGTTAAGTCGAGGTGGAAAAGTTAGAATATCGCTAAAGCTGAAATGTGAAAAAAGGTGATGGAAAAGGTTTTTGAATAAACAATGATGTATGAAGCCGTAAGTGAGAAACGACTGACCGATACAGACGTTCCGATCACGGCATGCAGATTTTTTGATCTGATCAGAGCAGGTTTGAAAAATGTCTCTGCACAATGAGCTCCTGAACCATCCAGTGTGTGTGTGTTACTGAAACACTTTATAATAAGAATTGAAAAAGTTATAAATAGTGTAAAAATATGTTCTCTCGCTGAGTGGGGGGGCGGGGGTCACTTTCTGGTGGGGTCAAACCTCTCCACAGGCAGCCCTGCCAAACAAGAACAACTTTTGGTTCTATGAAGAACCACGTTTGAAACAGATTTGTGGTATGAAGAACATTTAACCCTGACCCTGGACCATAAAACACGACACACGGCTGTAAAGATGATAAACGAACTCCTGGTCAAATCTGTCCATGTTGCTCGTTTCGATGCCCCTGATCACAGCAGACTACGGCACCTAGTTTTTTCACAGAACCACTGGATGGAAACACGACTTCATTCTCTTTTTCATTCTGCCAAAATTTTGTAAATATTCATAACACTTGCGTTTGAACAGAAAAACGGCCACACTCTGGTCAGAACATTTCTCATAATGTGTCAGAAAGCAGAGACTATCATTCATTAGCGATAACTGACCCACTGTTTCATCATTTAGGCCTACAGTTAGCATGATGCTAATTGGTGGGTATAAGCTTCCGTTACCTGTTAGCTACATTAGCCTCGTAGCTCCAGTGCTAAAACTGAAAAGCAAACGTGTCTCAGCTGATCTGGGAGAATTTGGCCACTTCACCTCTTTGCTGTCCTCTGTTCCTGATGAGAGTCATGTAATTCAGTTTAGTTTGGTTTGTTCCTAAAGCTGCTGCACAGAGAGCTGCTTCATATCTGCAGAGATCACAGGACACAGGCCTGACCGTAACTGGCCTTATTGGCAGGCTAATTTAGTTCATCTGAGAGCTGCCCTGTAGAAACTTGCACAGTTCTGCCTGAGCAGAGCAGAGCAGCTCCAGCATTGCCTAATATGAACATGAACAGCTGAAATCATTTGTTTACAGTGTGAGGGAGACGGTCAGGGCGGTCAGCTGACTCAGAGAGGACACAGCAGGGAGTAAACACGCTGTTTTAGGAGCTTTCTATGTTTAGGATTCTGTACAGCGCTGCTGGAGTCTGAACAGACAGTTAACACAAAAAGATTAGCAAAGTTTTGCTTCTTAAGTGTTTTATTTTTCGTTGTTTGTTGAACTGAAATATAAATAAAAAGTTACAGTGAGACATGAGCACCACCCAGCGGCCGAAGCTGGAAGTGCGCTATGCTAAAATCAGCTGATGTTCTGTTTTTAAACTAAAATGTGAACGAATTCAGACAAAAGACTGAAATATTATCTACATTTGCATTTACAGCACATTAAAAAGGTCTTTTTAAAAAATGTGGGCTGTTATATATGATCTGTTCATAACATTACAACCTTAAAATACTAGAAATGCTGATGACTTTTACCTACATTAGCCTTGTAGCTAATCATGGTCCTGTCATGGAATATCAGACATTAATATAAATATATACCACTGATATATCACTAAAAACAACAGAACCCTGCTGAAAAAAGACTAGTATAAACCATTAGCATTAAAACCTACTGGTTTTGCTTTTTAATAGGAATTGGCCTCATGTTTCCAACAGAGTTCTCTATGGTTTCCAAGAATCAGCCACTGGTCCATTAGGAACCAAAAGAAACACAATAATCAAATAGTACAGTTTAAAGTTTATAGAAGTTTGGGATGTTTTACAAACTGGAAAAATAATTAGATAAAAATGAGACTTTAGGTTAAAACAGCTGTTTATAAATCCAAACAACTGGATTTGCTGTTTGTCCTTTGAGCTGAAAATCAATACAGGAACACTCAGGATTTTATATACAAATTTATATACATTTATTAAAGATGCAGCGACTACATTCAGCACTGGTTCTGTGTTGATGCTTTAGTGTGATTACAGTATAAAAGACTGCAGAGTTCAGTATAAACACAGCGAATAGACGAAGGCTGTGTATCGTGTGCAGTGTGTGTGTATCGTGTGTATTGTGTGTAGTGTGTGTATCGTGTATCATGTGTATTGTGTGTGTATTGTGTGTGTATCGTGTGTATTGTGTGTGTAGTGTGTGTATCGTGTGTATCATGTGTATTGTGTGTATTGTGTGTATCGTGTGTGTATCGTGTGTGTATCGTGTGTGTATCGTGTGTATCGTGTGTGTATCGTGTGTATTGTGTGTGTATCGTGTGTGTATTGTATATCGTGTGTATCGTGTGTGTATCGTGTGTGTATTGTGTATCGTGTGTATCGTGTGTGTATCGTGTGTGTATCGTGTGTGTATCGTGTGTGTATCGTGTGTGTATCGTGTGTATTGTGTATCGTGTGTATCGTGTGTGTATCGTGTGTATCGTGTGTGTATTGTGTATCGTGTGTATCGTGTGTGTATCGTGTGTGTATTGTATATCGTGTGTATCGTGTGTGTATCGTGTGTGTATCGTGTGTGTATTGTGTATCGTGTGTATCGTGTGTGTATCGTGTGTGTATTGTGTATCGTGTGTATCGGTGCTGCTGCTGTTCCTGAGGCTGAAGAATAAGGAGTCAGTAAATAATCTCAGAGCAGAGCTGATCTCACACCTCGCGCTCCCACACTGAGCTACGAGTGTAGCTGCTAAAGCTAATATCAACTTATTGACCTCCGAAAGGAAACTCGGCTGTTCTGCAGCAGCGGCGAGTGAGCAGCGCTGCACTGAACACTCAGGAGAGGTGAGGCCTGAAAAAGCTGCTGGATATGAGAAGCAATAAATTCACAATGATGATATGAGAAGCACTTTGATTAAAACAGTAAACAGAAACCGAAGAAACGTCTCCTTTAAGAAATTTCAAACAATAGAAAATCTTAAAAACAGAATCCAGTATTAAAAACAACACGGACAGCTGCTCACAGCACAGCCACACGGTAGGACTGTCAGAAGGACACTCAGCGCCTGAAAACCAACATAGGACTACAACACAGTTTTACATGTGTGTATATATATATATATATATGAATATCTGCTGCTGTTTATCTCCAAAAATTTAAAGGTAAATTTACAGGAGAAGGAAAAACATTCTTAACCTTTAAAGGAAGTAAATGGAGAATTTTTTTGGACCATTTCAGTCTTCAGTTTTACTGTAAACTAAAGAGGTTTTATTGTCGGTGATTCTGAAGCTTCGGTTGGTCTGTTCATTCTGAAATGTCCACACAGTGTGAAGAGCAGCTGCTCAAACAATGCAGAACAACAAAATCTGACAAAACTGTGATGCATGTTTTGCTCTGGACAGTGATTAATATATATATATTTTTTGAAAAGCTCTTTATGGTGATGCAGGTTTGTTGTAACAGTCGTTACCGTTTCACACGGTTTATCATGTTTACAGTATTTTTACAGCTCAGTATTTATGTTATTGGCTATTTTGCGACTGATTAAGTCGCTCAGTTAAAATTATTCAGATGAAATATGATTCACTGTGCAGCCCTGAAACACAGCGCAGTGCAGACACACAACAACACAGCACACACAACCTGCAGAGGACGGGAAGAAACAAGGGGCATGTAAATATGAACACATACCAAAACAATAAATCAACAAACATTACGGTTCACTCTTACAGAGATGGTTCTTTAGTGAAGACAGTGGTTCTAGATAGAAACACGAACACTCAGAGAACCCTCCGCATACTTAAATGGTTCTCTGCATGGTGAAACGGTTCTTCATATCGATGGAGAATGTGTTGGTTCTACATATCACCAGAAAGGGTTCTGCTATTTATACGATGTCAAGCTTGTAACAATAGAAGAACTCTTTTCAAAAAGGTTCTATATAGAATCATATGCACTCTTAAAAAGATGGTTCTTCAAGAGTTTTTTAGTAAGGAAAATGGTTCTATACAGAACCATGAACACTCAAAGAATCTTTGCATCATGAAATGGTTCTTCAAACTGAGGAAGAATGTGTAGATGGTTCTATACAGAATCTTTTTGAAAAGGGTTCTGCTGTTTAAACAGCTTGTAACAGCTTGTAACAATAGAAGAACCCTTTCTGGTGCGATATAGAACCCTTTTGCTGTTCATGGTTCTATACAGAACAATTTTCTTTACTAAAGAACCCTTGAAGAACTGTCTTTTGTAAGTGTGTATGCACTGATACTTATATATTCAAAAGGATACAAAACAAAACAAACAAATCAAAATAAAATACACAGATTTGAATGAAATTATCGTCAGAATGAAATCTGACATCCGCAGAACGGAAAAACACGGAACCTCTGACAGTAACGCAGTGGAGCTGTTTGACTGTTCATCATGAAAATCTAACAGTTTAAAGAGCAAAACTGACCATAGACATGATCGTAAATATATTGGCACGTTCATGTTTGTCTATGTATACATTATAATACATAATCCATAAATATTAATAATAAGATGTATATATTATCAAATTATATCAAGTTTACTAATTTACCTGCTATATTTTTAGACCTTTTACTCACTGTAGTATAAACACTGTTACTGTGGAACAGCTGAACGATGATGTGCTCTCAGATGTTTATTGGGTCAGTCAGATGTTTAATGGGTCAGTCAGATGTTTAATGGGTCAGTCAGATCTCTCTTGATTACAGGAACTCTCTTTCTCTGTTATCTCTCTCTCTCTCTGTTATCTCTCTCTCTCTCTCTCTCTCTCTCTCTCTCTCTCTCTGTTTACGTATCTCTGATTGATGTCTGCTCTGTTTCTGACCGTCACTTCCTCTTCCTCCTTCCGGCCTTTATGGTCCGCAGCAGCAGGAAGTGAGCCGCTGTGTTTTTGCTGTGTTTGAAGGTCAACATAAAAAGCGTTTGAACAATGATCACTGTACTGCCCAGCGTCTGGACAGAAAGGAGGTATTAAAGCGACTGTTCATAGCGACGGTCTAAAGAAAGAACTTTTAGAGCAGCTCAGACTGACCCGTGTTCAGTCCACTTGGCCGCCCAGTTATTTATACTCAAACTGACCTGTTAAGTGCTTAAGTTATTCACTTAAAGCTGTACGTTGAAAGAGTTTGATGTGGAGTGTAAACAGTGTTTTAGACCTGCTGTTCCCTGTCCAGAACATACTGACCACTTACACAAGCTAAACCACACACACAGCTGAGGCTCATCTGTGGTCAGTCTGAGGCTGATCTGTGGACAGTCAGAGGAGGATCTGTGGTCGGTCTGAGGCTGACCTGTGGTCGGTCAGAGGCGGATCTGTGGTCAGTCTGAGGCTGATCTGTGGTCAGTCTGATATTTAAAGGGGAATCTGGAAGGAGTCTTTGATCCACTGGTCGCGGGAGTTTTGGGCAGGCTGCGGGCAGGACAGTGTGGTTTCCGTGGTTGCACTCCCGGCAGCTTCCTCTTCCTCTTCCTCCTCCTCCTCCTCTTCGGAGAATCCGTTCTCGGTGGTGAAGGAGTTCTCGCCCAGCGTGGAGGAGATGTCCTGGAACGCTCCTTTATACTCCTGAATGGACTCATACAGTGACCACAGCTGGCACAGCAGAGACATGTCCAACTGTCTCAGACCAACCTGCAGAAAAACACCACATTACTGCACTCATATTCACAATGTCATCAAAATTAATATCATTAATATTCTCTGGATAATTAAAACTAATGAATAATATTCACTCTATAATCAAAATAAACATTAATATTCACTCTATAAATAAAACTAATGATTAATATTCACTCTATAATCAAAATTAAACATTATTATATGATAAAAACTAAACATTAATTTTCACTCTATAATTAAAACTGATTAATATTCACTATGTATTGAAAGTAAATGATTAATATTCATGCTGTAATAAAATAATAATGATCAATAGTCACTCTACAATAAACATAAATGGCTAATATCACAACAAAAATAAATTACTAATATTCACTCTACAACAAAAATAATGATTATAAATCACTATACAGTGAAATAAATGATTAATATTTATTCTATAACAATGATAATATCATCTTTATGGGTCCACTGTAATAATGAACAGAGTTCTAATAAATTAATACCCATCATGCCTTTCAATAATATGCCTTTTATAATAAGATATAATCTGTAAAAAAAACTTGTTGTTTCTGAAATACCTGAAATATGAATATCTAAAAGTCTTTTGTTGTGTAGTTTAGAGTATTTAAGTGCATCTACAGCCTGGAGCTCTGCACTGATACAGGGGTCCAAGTTCATAACGTTCTTCCCCCATATTTTGATCCCTCCACCTCCTGGTGTCACTCACCATTTCTTTCCTCAGCATGGCCAGTGCAGCGTCCAGACTGGCCGGTCTGCTGAAGCTCAGAGCTTCACTCACTCTGGACTTGCTGATATCAGCCTGGATTCTGGTTCTTTTACTGTGAACTTTCTCGATGTCCCTCCAGGATCCGCCGCTGGAGTTCAGGATGCCACTCAGACCCTTGGGCAGAGGGGGCAGCCCCTCAATGTCCACACTGCCACCTGGACAGTCCGCTGATGGACCGGCCTGGACCCCGTTCATGCTCTTCTTTTTCCAGAAATCTCCTCAGTCCTGGTTCTGTTCAGAGTTCTGTTGGATGAAGAACCTTCAGTGAATCAGGAACATCTCCCACGGTTCCAGATTAGGTCTCAAAAGCACGAAGAACAAAATCCCTCGATCAGTCTACTGGACCATCAGCAGCTCTGAAGCCCCTCCAACTTACCAGCAGCTTCAAGTTCAACACTAATCAGTTTGATCAGCAAGCCAGCAAACCTCACTGAGATCAGTGAGAACATACCTCACCTTCTGGTTCTCCAGCTCAGCTTTTGGTCCCAGTTTGGTTTGGAAACGTTGAAACAGATCAAATATAACATTTGCTGGTTCTTAAAAACAGATTTAGAAACACTGAAACGGCTCCGTTTCCCGTCAGTGTTTTCCTTTGTCCTGTGAAGTTAGCCACGCCCACTCTGTCTGTCAGCCAATACCGTTTTCGGGCACTAGAGGGCATTATCCCTGAAGAGAGACTAAAACCCACCCGTATTCGGACATGACCGAACTAGGATTGCCTCAGCCTGACTCGCCCTGGGATTGGCCAAAAGTGTGGTAAAGCCCGCCCTCTTGATCTAGGATTGGCTGTCTGTCAAATCCCGCCCCCCCCACTGTGGAATACGCTGATAGCCTATAGATGTAAGCTAACAGGCTTGTCTGAAAACGGGTGGGAAATAATTTCAATCTGACCTCAGAGGACTGAATAAATTGAATGTTTATGTAAATGATATATATGATATTCAGCGGTTTTTGACTAGACAGGCAGCCATTTTATTTTCTTATCTGATTTACTGCAAAGCAACTCACATTAAAAATAAACGTTTTCATCCAGTACTTTAATTCCTGATGACTCTTACACTCTTAAACAGGCCTGAACAAACACAAACAAGCAACAAGTTCCAGTAAACGCACAACATGACGGGTCACATTCAGCATCCAAACCGACTCTGCAGGGGGTCGTACAGCAGTGGTCACCAAACCTCTTCATGAAGGTTCACCTTTACGCTCCAACGCTACATTCCCCAAACCCTCAAACATCTCAGGATCTAAAACAGATGTGGATGAGCAGAGTTTGTAGGAAGGTCAAAGTAACAAAGAAACAGCTCAACCAAACATGCTAACGTGGCTAACAATGAATGTAAACCGAATCCATCCGGTAGCTCTTCATGTTCATTCACTGTTAGCAACATTAGCTCGAGTGTGTGAACTTTTCCTTTAAGCCAAAAAGCCACAGAGGACCATCCAACAGTAACGTCACTCAGCTCTTCTGTTATTGGATGCTTCATTTTTTGGCTTAAAGAAATATTACAGCATTTTTTATCCTATGTAACCAGAATCTTCTGCTTTATCATATTTAATGTTACTATTTATCTCCATCTTCCACATCTACAGTATAACTACTTTCTGTGATTATTGTCCTTTATAATCAACTGTGCTGTACAGATGGGGCTCCAGGGGCTCCAGGCGCTCCAGGTGAGGCTGATGAGGGCTGAGCTTTGTAGAAGGTGGATCTCCAGGATTCGGACAGGTGACCGCTGTCATACAGACGACTGAACGCTGTGCGTGTGGACACAGCTGGCCGCTATTTTTGGTTGTCTTTCAGGACAGTCGCAGTTCTTTGAGGCTGCGGAGAGAGTCTGCGCAGGTGCGGATGAGGCTGCACAGCTGGATGCTGGTTTCCACGGAGACGGCCTGCTGCAGCTCCTGCGTGGCCCAGCGCAGTTTGTGCAGCACGGCCTCCTCAGCGTGTGTGAGGGCTGGGTGGGTGGGAGGCGGGCCGGCAGGGGGCGAGGCGGCCTGTAGGGCGGGGCTGGCGGGCAATAGGAAGGCAGGGCTGCTGGAGGGGGTGGGGAGTGTAGGGGGCTGTGAAGGGGGCGGAGCTCGGAGTCCTGAGGCCGCACCCTCGCAGTGCTCCGGCCGGGGAAGGCCTGTGATGGAGAGCGGTGGTTCGGTGGGTGGAGCTCCGTTAGCCTGGGGGTGGGGCTGAATGGCCAGCTGACGCTCGCGCACCTGCGACAGAGCCGCCTGCGCATTTAGAGCTGAGAGACATAAAAACAGTGTAAGATACTTAACATTTATAACTCTGTAAACTCTGATTACCGGGACATCTGATCCACACAACACAAAGGGGAACTCCTCCTATTTTTTCAAAATTTCCATCCTTTTTTTTAAACAATTATTTCAAAAGAGTCGTTCAGAGTGGTTTGGTGTGAAACGCTCTGTTCTAGAGAAACTTACCGAGTCAATATTGTTCACAGTGGTGGTGATAGGAACCAGACGTCCACCTCTAAAATCTCTCTAATTACATGCAGGGCGCTGTGAGGCAAAATAGTCCCCAAAGAAAACTTATTATGTCAGATTTTCCACTATTTTCCATCATCAACATTCCATATAAACTCAGAAGACTCGTGTAGGTTCACTGGTGGTTCTGGATAGTAAATAAAATGTCTATATTTGTGTTGTAGTCATGGTGACCCCTGGTTCCTATCACCACCACTGTAAAGACATCTGAACCATTTCACACCAAACCTCTCTGAATCTCTCTGATTACACCTCACTTACTGAGTTATGGAGGAATTTTGGAAAATGGATCGCACTCCCCTTTGAAAACAGTTATGAGAAAATGGCGCTTATGGCTATAAAATTAATGCACAGCTCCATCCGACATCCATCCATGAGATGATCTCATAACACAAGCTGTAGATATTTGCACCAAATCACTGAAAAACTACTTAGCTGACTAAATATTAAATATTGGAGCTGATAAGGTGGCACTTCACACACCTGGGTTGTCTTTGTCAACGTCCGAGTCCAGCTCTTGACACGCAACACAGTAATTCTTCTTCTGTTTGTCCTGAAGCAGAATTGTCTGCCAAAAGCACACAGAACATTTTCAGGTTTAAGAGTAAGCAGCAAAATCTCACTAAGACAGTCACAGTTATGAAAGACTACTGGATATTTCAATGACCTGATAACTCACAGACATTTCCAGGGTCAGTTAAAAGCTCTTAAACAAGTCTGTATTACAAAAACTTTTCAGGTCCAGGTGGTCTCACCCCGCACAGCTCGCAGCACTCCCCCAGCATTTTATAACCTTTCAGCAGGTAATCTCCCATCAGCTTGCTGATTTTGTCCTGGCGCTCCCTGCGGGCCTGGATCACCTTCATCTCCGCCTCCGTGGGAGGCTCCCATTCAAAGTCTTCCTCATCTGAAAGAAATACAAAAAGCTGAAGTTCCACCTTAAACAGTGCGGCAGTTACATTCTGGCGCCTTATATAACACAGAGAGTCTCAGGTAACTCTGAGTAACACAGAGAGGCTCTCTGAGCGGAGACTCATCTGCACATCAGCAGGAACAACAACATTCACACTGCAATCCGCCTATTCAGCAGTTTAGCCCCGCCCACACTGACATTATAAGGAGTGTTTCAGTCCACAAAGTGTTTTAAAGTAAAGTGCAATACCGGGCAGCCAATCAGAACAGAGTTAATTTACATATATCAGTCTTAAAGGTGGTCTGTTTAAGTGGGATACAGAAAGGTTGGAAACTGGTGATGTGAAAATGAGACTTTTGGTAAACAGATCTACACCAGTGTTAGAAGTTAACCTCAGTTAAAAAACAGAATAAGATAAAAGAGTCATACAGGAATAATATAGTAATATAGGATACGAGCCCTTTAATGTTTATGCTACTGTAACCAGGCTGTTTATTATTATGACTCGGTTTAAGCAGCACGAGGCAGATTCTAATTCTCCGTTCCACCTTAAATGGTGCAGCAGTTAATTCTGGCGCCTGAGGCTGATCACTGATCTGAGGGACTGAATCATAAAAGCTTTTAAACCACAAAGAGCGCTCTGCAGCCTCTCATACACACAATAAACAAATAAACATAAACATAAACATAAACAACAGCAGCCACTCAGAAATGCACGTAAATAAACACAGATAAACACACACAATCCACCTATTAGACAGAGCATAAATAAGTTAACATATAAAATAGTGATGAACATAAATATCCGTGTAGATATGATAAATATTAACACAAACAAACATCAATATAGCTGAGACTGCAGAACTTTAGCTTTAGCACACCAGCTAATCACGCTAAAGTGGAGGATAAATGAAGACAGAGGCGCAGTCAGGGATCTTAACCTCTCATTAAACCCAAACTAAGATAAACATTCCGACCTAAAGCTGAAAGGAGTGAAATAAAGGTGTAAAAGCTGTTATTAGGCTGCAAAAGCACCTGCGTTTAGCGCCATGCTCCCCTCCTAGCAGCCGCACCGGCACTGAGCGCAGCGAACACGGAGAGCGACACCTGCAGGACTGGAGGAGTAAAGACCAGCAATGCACACGAGATCAATGCGACACAGTGAATCAGTAATTCTAAAAAATGAGTCATTATGCCGACATAACCTGTCAGAACTCTGAGATACTAGTAATTATGCCAACATTGTAAGTCGATACAGAAAACAAACCATTATTTCAACACAATAAGTCATTATTACAACATGAATCAGAACTTAGAGTTACTGGTAATTATTTCAGTCAACAGTAAGTCAACATACCTGAAAGATGTGCCATTATTTCGACATAATAAATAATTATTTTGAGAACAAAAGTTATTATTACAGCATAAATGCAATTTCTGAGATAGTAGCAAATATGTCGACATAGTAAGTCAATACTTTCAGAATGTAAGTCATTATTTAGACACAATGAGTCATTACTTCGACATGTTAAGTCATTATTATGACAACATTTTATTTTGTGTTATACAGCTTCCAGGAAAAGGGAGTAAAATTACTCATTTCTTCTTTTCCTCTTTTTCTTTTCTTCTTTTTCTCCGTAAAGTAGTTATTATAAGCGTGCTCAAGCCACATACTGTGTTTGCAAAGCACTAATCAGTGTAGAAATCTTTAGATCATCTCTGATATATATAATATGGATAATGGGAAATTACTTTAGATATAGTTGGAATTTTTCAGTATCGATACATCGGTATTTTTGACAACTCACGGTGTAGCTGAACCGTAAACAAGCTATCACCGACGCGGAACTAACGAACTGGCGGACAGTTTCAGTCCGGTCTGACGAAAAGGACGCACTCGGTTGCAGCGCTGCTGTGTTTTGGCGCTGAGAGGTGAGTCCGGACTAAAGCGATAATTCGGGTTTTCCGCTCTTCATAAACCCGCCTGCTCGGTCCTGTTCGGGTCTTTGTGGTTCTGCCATCTTTCGTAGAGCCTCGGGATGAAGTGAAACTCCACAGTAAATTCGCTAATCCGGGTTAAAGGCGCAGAGAGCGGCTCGCAGCGCCGCCACAGGGTGAAGAAGTAGGTTAGCGCTGGTTGCGCAGGACGAGAGGCGGAGGGAGGGTTACGCGTTTAAGGCGCTCCTGACGCTCCTGGTTCACTCCTGACGCTCCGGATTCACTCCTGAAGCATCACTTCCATCCCGGGCCCGCTAAGAGGAGTGTACGGGATCGCTGAAGTTAGCTGCTGTCATGGGTGGTTTCATATTCGCCAGCTGCAACTTTCCGTTCCACCTTAAATGGTACAGCAGTTACAGGCGCCAGAATGTAACTGCTGTACTATTTAAGGTGGAACGGAAGATTCGAATAAGCAGCCAATTTCAGCCTCCTACTGCTTATAATGAGTCGTATTAATAAACACAGGCTGGTTACGGAAACATAAACATTGAAGAGTCCGTATCCCACATTACTCTGTATTTTATTTTTATAACTGTAACTTATAACATTCGTGTAGGTCGGTGTAACATTTTTACATATATTTTCCAAACTCTCTTTATCCCACTTAAACAGACCACCTTTAAAACGAATATATGCAAATGAGCTCTGTTCTGACCGGCTGCCCTGTGTTGCACATTATTCAAAACGTCTTCCGGGTTGAAACACTCCTTATAATGAGTGTGTTTACATGCACTCAGTAATCTGATCATAATCCGATTTTTGCAGTTATCCGATTATTCAAATGGTCATGTAAACACCATACTCTGATCTAGAAATCGGATGAAGAGGCTGGATTTTAGCGCAGTAATCAGATTTCTCAGCGCATGTAAACTCTTACTCTTACCGGATTTCTCAGTCTGTGTGAGATCAGACGGTGGATGCCGCGAGACGCAGTAAAACACTTTTGGAGCGACACTGAAACCAAACACGAAATATAGGATTTAATTATTCTTCATCTTCTAGATGATTTATCATATTGTCAGCTAAAGTGGCGCCATGTTTAACGTTACGTTTACGTCACGTCTTCTTCTGTGAGTTTATTGGCTGGTTGTAAAGCAGAAATCTAATTACTGTCTGACTCATGTAGACCTGGAGTTTCCCCATTATCTGATTACTCAAGTGCATGTAAACATGTTGATCGGATTACTGACGAAATCTGATTTTCTGCAGTTATCAGATTATTGAGTGCATGAAAACGTACTCAATGTAGGAGTGGGTGGGGCTAACGAGGCAGATATATGCAAATGTATTTTATTCAAAGTTATTTTAATGTCATTAGATTAGATCTGTGTTCTTGTTCCTGTTGTTTGCAGATGAGCGGAGACTCAGACGGGAATAAAGAGTTTCTTGAGCAGCTCCGTCTGCAGGAGCTGTACGGCCAGAAACGGGAGGCTGGAGACGATCCGTATACGTACGTCGATCCAGAAGATGGAACTGTGTACGACTGGGACCACGACAAGAAGGCGTGGTTCCCTAAGGTATAATAACCTTATCCAGTATGTTATGTATCAAAGTGGAATTCCACCAATTTTTCTAAATTTCCCCCATAATTCAGTGTGTGAGGTGTAATCAGAGAGATTCAGAGTGGTTTGGTGTGAAACGGTTCAGATGTCTTTACAGTGGTGGTGATGGGAACCAGGGGTCGCCATGACTACAACACAAATATAGACATTTACTATCCAGAACCACCAGTGAACCTACACCAGTCTTCTGAGTCTATATGGAATGTTAATGATGGAAAATAGTGGAAAATCTGAAATAATAAGTTTTCTTTGGGGACTATTTTGCCTCACAGCGCCCTGCATGTATCCCTCCACCATGAATGGAGTTTAAGTTCTCTAAACGATCATAAAACAGTGTCTCAGTCATCAGGCAGTGAATTCATAACCATTTCATGTAGGAACTTTCTGTGAGGGAGCTTTTAGAGGTGGACGTCTGGTTCCTATCACCACCACTGTGAACAGTTCTGACTCGGTAAGTTTCTCTAGAACAGAGCGTTTCACACCAAACCACTCTGAACCGCTCTGTTTACAGCTTGACCACTTAATTATGCAGGAATTTAGAAAATAAGGTGGAGTTCCCCTTTAATGTTTTTGATTTTACAGAGCACCATTCTGTCCAATAAATTCATACTGAAGTTTTAAATCATTAAGTATGTTAATGTGTGCAGATAACCGAGGACTTCATTGCTGCATATCAAGCGAACTATGGCTTCAGTGAGGATGGAACTCCTGACCCGACAGCTGCAGCTCCACCAGGAGAGACTCCACCAGATAAACCAGAGGAGAAATTAGAGGAGGAGGAGAAGAAGAAGGAGGATGAGGAGAAGGAGGAGGAGGAGAAGTCAGATTCGTCCAGCACTAAAGAGGTCAAACAGAAGGGAGAGAAGAGGAAAGCAGAACCAGGTGCAGAAACAGACATGATGATGAAGGAATAAAATTGTGGTTAATTTTTGTTGTCATGTATTTTTGAGAACTTATAAGTGACCCTTCAATCTCTCTGACACTTACAGGCTGGTTTGATATAGAGGAAGAAAGAAACACAAATGTTTATGTGTCAGGTAAGAATTTCTCAGTTTTATATTATAGAGAAACATTCGTTCAACTGAAGACTAATGAATGTTGACTCAGCGCCCCCTACTGGCAGACATGATTAGTTATGATGTCCATTTCACTGTACATAGGGCTTTATTGAATAAAGTGTATTCTGTGTCTGTGTGTGTGTGTGTCTGTGTGTGTCTGTGTGTGTGTGTGTGTGTGTGTGTGTGTGTCTGTGTGTGTCTGTGTGTGTGTCTGTGTGTGTGTCTGTGTGTGTCTGTGTGTGTGTCTGTGTGTGTCTGTGTGTGTGTGTCTGTGTGTGTGTGTGTGTGTGTGTCTGTGTGTGTGTCTGTGTGTGTCTGTGTGTGTGTCTCTGTGTGTGTGTGTGTGTGTCTGTGTGTGTGTGTGTGTGTGTGTGTGTGTCAGGTCTTCCTCCTGATGTGACCCCTGATGAGTTTGCGGAGTTCATGTCTAAGTGTGGGATCATTATGAGGGACCCGATCACAGAGGAGTATAAGGTGAAGCTGTATAAGGACAGTGAGGGGAACCAGAAAGGAGACGGACTCTGCTGTTACCTCAAGGTGAGTTTACTGTCCACCTGAATGACTCGGGCACATTTCCTCACATTTCCTCATGTCTGTCTGTCTATATATCTTTCCGTCCACACATGTATCTGTCTGTCTGTCCGTCCATCCATCTGTCTACTTGTCTGCCCATCTGTCTGTTTGTCTATCCATTTGTCCACCTGTCTGTCTGCCTGTCTATCCATCTGTTTGTCTGTCCATTTGTCTCTCTATATATTTTTCCATACATATTTTCTATACATGTATGTGTCTGTCTGTCTATCTGTCTAACTATTTGTCTGTTTGTCCATCCATCTATTTACTTGTCTGTCCATCTGTCTGTTTATTCATCTGTCTGTCTGATTGTCTGTTTGTCTATCCTTCTGTCTGTCTGTCCATCTATCTATGTACTTGTCTGTCTGTCCATCGGTCTGTCCGGCAGTCTGTCTACTTGTCTGTCTGTCTGTCTGTCCATCTGTGTGTCCGTCGGTCTGTCTACTTGTCTGTCTGTCTGTCTGTCTGTCCATCTGTGTGTCCGTCGGTCTGTCTACTTGTCTGTCTGTCCATCTGTCTGTCCGTCGGTCTGTCTACTTGTCTGTCTGTCTGTCCATCTGTCTGTCCGTCGGTCTGTCTACTTGTCTGTCTGTCTGTCCCCTGTTGGACGTATAAACACTACAGCTCCAGTGCTGAGTCAGTTCAGTATGATGTGGACTGTGTTTGTGCTGATCAGTAAATCTGTGTGTGATTGTGCCCAGAGGGAGTCAGTGGCTCTTGCTGAGCGTCTGCTGGACGACTCGGAGATCCGAGGCTACAGACTGCACGTGGAGGCGGCTCGGTTCGAGTTGAAGGGTCAGTACGACGCCAGCAAGAAGAAGAAGAAGAACAAAGAGTACCGCAAAAAACTTCAGCAGCAGCAGAAGTACGGAGCTTAACCTCAGCTCTTCATTACGTACAAACAGCTACGTCTGAGAGGAGCGGCGCTCACTGCGCTGCTGATACACTAAACCTTACAGTAAACATACACAACACCCTGACTTTGGCCCATGGGGGAATCTGTAATGTAATAGGGTTAAAGTTTAGCCTGTACTGTAATCATTTTTTCATAATCATTTTTTATTTGATTACATACACTGACTGATCAAAACAGCCACAGAAACTGAAGTGTTTTTATCCTTCACTTGGGCCTTAGTTTGGTTTCTCTTAACTTACCTATAAACTATAAACGTGAACATGTAGAATATTATAATATGACGGAATACAATGTTGTAGTAACAGACTATTATAAAATTGCCCTGTATTGTCTCTGCAGCTCTGTCCAGCAGGTCGCGCTGCAGTGCTGTGAGCAGTTTTTGAGTGTGGTGCCCTTTTTTAAGTGAGATGTTTAATCTGCTGATGTTTACTGTTGACAGGCAGCTGGACTGGAGGCCGGAGAAGGCAGGGGAGGTACGTAAGAGACACGAGCGCGTGGTCATCATCCAGAACATGTTCCACCCAAAAGACTTTGAGGTGAGTTCAGCAGCAGCAGCGAGAGGGACGGACGGATGATGAGCTGCTGTGCAGAAAACATTTTAGCTCATTAAAATGATAATAATCATATTATAAAAGACTAATTTAATCACTTACTTTTATATATTACTGTATTTTTATTATATGGAGCACCAACTTTACAAACTTCATAAACTGAAAATATCAGAACGAAACTCAGCAAAGCAGGACAAAATAAAATAAAAACAGAGGTGAGCAGATGTTCCCTCACACAGCTGCCTGCAGTTTGGCATGTTTTTAAAGCGCCGATATCATGGAAAAATGATTTTCCCCGTTTGTTTGGAATAGGAGTGTGATGTAGGGTGTAAACAGTGCCAAAACTGAACCCGTTCTCAAAGCAGTCCCTAAACAAGGCTTCAGGTCATTATTGATCACGTGATTTCAGGAAAACGATACAAGTATCAATACAGAGCTTCAACTGAAACAACCTCACCTTCACGACACACAGTTCAAAGCTGTGTTTCTCAGTGTAACATCACTATTTAAAGCAGTAAGTGATTTTAGTCAAATCCGTGAATATCTCTTTGCGCCCTGCTAGCTCTCCGTTCTGTGTGCTGGAAAAAAAATCCAGTGTTGGTTCACGGCTCTGACTCTGTAAACGAGAAACAAAGTGGCTCAGGCTGAACAACACAACACTATTCCAGCCAGTCAGCAACAGGGGGCGCTTCGTGCTCGTGCACAGGACAGGGGGAAGGGAAGGGGCTACATGCTGAACTCCACACATGGTCAAGAAGAGAGATGGAGAGAAACGGCCAAAGAGGAGAAGATTTGAAGAACAGAGACTGAGAAAGAAGTTCTTAGATCAGGCGACGGCGTTTCAGCGGTGCAGAGACCTCTGAGAGCTCCCGAGGCTGAAGTCGGCTTCTTATTCGCACTTTCCCGTTCCACCTTAAATGGTGCAGCAGTTATTATTATAACACCTGAGGCACTAGAATATAACTGCTGCACCATTTAAGGTGGAACAGAAAAAATGTGAATAAAAAGCCGAATTCAGCTTCATGGAGAACTGAAAGGCCTGAAAATGGGAGGCTACTCTGTTTATTAACTTAGTCATTTATTGCAACATAAACTTTTTTTGCTGTTTCACAAAACCAGCAGATCAGTATTGTTTTATCCCATTTGCTAATGTTTGTGATAGCAGCTGTTTAGCTTCACAGCAGCTACAGTAGAGACAGTTTGCTAACCCACAGCCGAGCTAACGCTGGCTACATTACATGCTGTGTAGTTGTTGGCTTTAACGTTATATCATGGTATTTGTCTGTTCCATGACTGTGAAGAGTTTTATGGCCACAAAGATCTAAAAAAACAAGTTTGTGCCTCCAAGAATTGGGGGGCGGAGCTTCTGAAGGGAGGGGTGTGTTTGTTTTGCTGTTGAGTTCAAATATCAACAATCATTTTCCAGAATCGTTTACTGCACCTTTAACAGAAATCATTTTGTAACGTTTGCTTAACATCAATTGTACACTGTCCCTTTAGGGCTGAACGGTCAAAATATCTAATTGTGATTTTTTTTTTAATTTTTTTTTTTTATGAACATTGTTGTGACTGAAATTGAAATTTTGAGTGTTGCTGGCTTGAAAGCTAAATGTAGAGCCAGATGGCCAGTTAGTTGTTGTCTTTTCACTTACACAGTATGTGGGTGTTTGGTTGCAGGCAAACGCCTCTACAGGCAGTTTCCTCAGTGTTATTACTTCTCTTCACTGTTTATTACATCTCCTCAGTGTTTATTACATCTCCTCAGTGTTTATTACATCTCCTCAGTGTTATTTGGTTACATTTCCCCACTTAAAACTTGACAAAATGTTAATAATGTAGGCTATAATAAAAATTTCACTCTTGCCAATTGCGATTTTGATGTAAAAGCGATTAATCTTTCAGCCCTCAGGGTGTGCCCCAAGGCTCAGTTCTTGGCCCCTCATTTTTATTTATATTTTTTTACATTACCCTTTGGACAAGCTGCTTGTATCTGTGGTCACAGCTTTCACTGCTCTGCTGATGACATTGTTATATTGAAGTGCCAGTTACACCATCATTCTCAGTGGTCAGTCCGCTAACTCTGCTGTGGTTGTGTGTGTTTGTGAAATAAGAGTTTGCTGTAAACACTGTTAAAGTTTCTAGACATACTATTTACTCTGGAGTACATCGACCATATATGGAAACTAAACTGAAAAAAAGCCTGATTTGGATTCGTCGTGGTTGTGCCATCATTTCAGAAACATTAACACATGACCGGCCCTCACCCATTTGGCCTACTTTTCAGCCCAGACCGCTTTTTGAATGAGGCACAATACAGGGCAGCCAATCAGAACAGAGCTCATTTACATATATCAGTCTTAAAGGCACAGTAACATAAACAGCCTCTTTAACTGTCAGAGATAAAGAGAAGAAAAAACAAGTACATGTAATTTCAGTCAGTGGAACCAGACTTTTTTTCCCAAGTATATTTTGGCCTTTTCTGTTGGTCCATCATGAAATATCATGAAATTTACTTACACTGTAAAGGGAAATAGGCATTTTAATATTATGTCTAATGTACTGAAAATTGAAAAAAATGTTCATATGAGATTTTGTTGCTGTTGGAACAAAACCTTGTTTCTTCTTCCTTGTTATTTCCAAAAAAAGTAACTTTACAGGAGAAGCAAAAAAAGTTATTAACTTTCAATTTAAGTTAACGTAACAAGATTTACACACATACAACAAGCAACATTGGATGTAAAAGGCGTGTGTGTGTGTGTGTGTGTGTGTGTGTATAATTTAGTAATTTAATTATATACACACACACACACACACACACACACACACTGACCGACCACTTCATTAAGTTCACCTCATTGTATTTACCTCATTGTCCACTTTATCAGCTCCACTGCTCACACAGGAGCACTTAAATAATGAAAATAATGAGGACATTAACGTGACCTAAACGCAGCGCTCCATGTCAGTGAGCTGGTGTTTGAGTGTGATGGTAACATTAGACCTGAATAACTGAGATTCCGATCAGATGAACAGCAGGTTTAACTGCATTCCTGCAGCAGGTGCATCTTCATCCTCACACGCCGCGGCGCAGGAGCGGCTCTGCAGTACGAGCTCATCACTCTGCCTTTAGTTTACGTTACTGGGTCACCATCAGAAATACACTGACTGTCCAAAAGTATCCAGACAGGCCTTCTATTCATGAGGTCACCCTGTAGAGTAGGACACTGTGGAGCAACCTGAGGTCACATGAGCCTAAGGTCTCCATGCCAGATTTTTCGCCCTGATGTGACTCAGATCTGATGTTTTCAGGGCTGTGTGACACACAAATCTGATCTGGCCTGAGCCACCTTCATATGTGGTCGTAGATTGGATACGTATCCGATTCGTGGCCATGTGACCTTAATGTGACGCTCAGATCGGAATTCATGCGCTTTTTTTCCACTGCGCTGCTCCATCATTCAGCGTTACCATGGCAGCAGCGCCGAACAGAAGTTAAAGCCTGTAAGCGGTGGAAAAGCAGCTCATCTCACCTTTTTCTCCTTCGTCTCGCTCTAATAATGAAGCTGAGAGCTGATCAGAGTTAATGATCTTCTCAGCGAAGCTCGTTCTGCTCGTTAGTTTGTGCTGATGATGAACGTGATTCATTCACGTGACGTTACTGAGTAGGATGAGCTCATGAGGGTCATTTCAGGACGCCGGTTCGTCACATTAATGACAGATTTGAGTGACTTACCTAAACGAGTGTGAACCATCGTGTCAGAGAGATCGGATTTGAGCGAAAAATCGGATTTGAGCAACGAGGCTTGTAATGTGAACGTAGCTAAAGTGACTCACATCGGATTTGAAAAGATCAGATTTGTGTCCACACAGCTCTGAAAACATCAGATCTGAGTCACTTTAGGGGAAAAATCAGATTTGTGCCACTTCAGCCTGGTAATGTGAACGTAGGCTAAGTGTAGTTCATCACACAGATCTCCATCAGTGTGGGGGCTGCTGTTTAACTGTGCTGTACGTCTCCATTCAGGAAGATCCGCTGGTGCTGAACGAGTACAGAGACGACCTGCGGACGGAGTGTGAGAAATTTGGAGAGGTCAAGAAGGTCATCATCTTTGATGTGAGTATCGGTGCTCTGATTATTTGCCGTCCTGTTCTAAGCAGGCAGTGAATTTACACACTGACACACAACCTCCAGTGTTTTATTGCTCTCAGTGATAAATAACAGTGTATTAATGTAATATTCTTATAATAAAGTGGAGGCAAATGTTGCTGTAGGTCTGTCGCTGTAGACGTGTCTCAGTCACTGTGTCGTCACATCCGCCTGTACGGCGGCAGTGGAGGGTCGCTGGTTTTCAGCCTCTCTCAGAGATCTTCTTCCTCCGGCCTCAACAGGAGGGCAGTCAGTGTGTCTGTTAGGTCCTTTCGGCACAGACGAAAGGCTGGTTCGACTTAGTGAAGCACACAAAAGTTAAACATTGTGCAGCGTCTGCTGCAGCACAGTCTGTTTACAGCGGTGCTCACCTCAGGCGTCTGTGCCACGCGTCAGCTGCAAATAATGTGTTTGAAAGCGCATCTGTGAATTTTACACGTTCAGTGTGAAAGCAGCTGCATTCAGACGGTGGAATGTGTTGCAACTGCAAGGAATCCGCTGGAGGCCAGTTCTAACAAGTGAAGTGCATATTTATGTTCACTTCATCAAACTTCCCCAAATGACCTGATACTAGCAGCGACAGAGAGACGTCATTACATTACAGCACAAACCATGAGAGCCTCCTTCTCTGCACTGGGACTGAACCGAGGAACTTAACCATTCAGCCAAACGGCAACTACAAAACACACACTGAGACCTTAAAATGGCCGCTACCAGCCTATAAGGTCATGTCACTAGTTTTAAATTTGTATCAGTGTGTTCAGGCAACCCAAACTCGTCTAGATGAAAACATGACTTCATTCATCCTCTGTGTTATTATAACACCATAATATTACTGTGTTCTCTCTGAGGACCTGCAGAATATTTGATTTCTGTTGTGTTTTTGTGTTTGTATGTATCAGCGACACCCTGACGGCGTGGCCTCAGTGGCATTTAAAGAGCCGGAGGAGGCGGATGTGTGCCAGATGACGTTGGATGGACGCTGGTTTGGAGGGAGGAAGCTTTCGGCTCAGCTGTGGGACGGAGTTACAGACTATCAGGCAAGACAAACCCACAAGCGTAGAGGATGATATGACTTCTACTGTTTCATTTAAAAAGCCTCTATAATGTTCATATGATCCACACAGTCACTCTGACAGACTGTAATACACTACAGGAAGTGTAGGGGGCGATATGGCTTCTACTGTTTCATTTAAAAAGCCTCTATAATGTTCATATGATCCACACAGTCATTCTGACAGACTGTAATACACTACAGGAAGTGTAGGGGGCGATATGGCTTCTACTGTTTCATTTAAAAAGCCTCTATAATGTTCATATGATCCACACAGTCATTCTGACAGACTGTAATACACTACAGGAAGTGTAGGGGGCGATATGGCTTCTACTGTTTCATTTAAAAAGCCTCTATAATGTTCATATGATCCACACAGTCACTCTGACAGATTGTAATACACTACAGGAGGTGTAGGGGGGCGATATGGCTTCTACTGTTTCATTTAAAAAGCCTCTATAATGTTCATATGATCCACACAGTCACTCTGACAGACTGTAATACACTACAGGAGGTGTAGGGGGCGATATGGCTTCTACTGTTTCATTTAAAAAGCCTCTATAATGTTCATATGATCCACACAGTCACTCTGACAGACTGTAATACACTACAGGAAGTGTAGGGGGCGATATGGCTTCTACTGTTTCATTTAAAAAGCTCTATAATGTCAGTCTGACAGACTGTAATGTATGTTCCTTCTCTCTTGCCGATCCTCTCAGGTGGAAGAGACGTCGCGGGAGCGTGAGGAGAGGTTAAAGGGGTGGTCCACGTTTCTGGCGGATGAAAAGACCGCTGAGGCTGCAGCCCAGGCTAAAGACACTGAAGGAAAGAAGGAAGCAGAAAACACTCAGGGGGCGGAGTCAGCGTCAGCCCCAGCCGCAGACACAACACCGTCACAGCCAGAAGATGAAACAGCAGCAGAACAGCCGGACGAAGCGGCCGTGGATTCCACAGACAGCAGCCTGGCGGGCAGTGACGACGAGGCTTAGATCCAAAATTGGAAAACACAGCATACCTGAACATTCAGACCTAAAACACTTGTCTGTCACTGACCCACCCAGGCTCCGCCCACTTTCATAGATACTGTTGTGAGGTTGGATATGTTTTACAGAACACTGGTAAAAATCCCATAAAACCTAATGAGAAACTGTAGAACAGACTCAGTTTATATCACAATACCTACATTTAGAGTCGGTTCTACAGTTCTGAGTTCTAATCCGAGTCTGTTCTACAGTTTCTCATTAGATTTAATGGGATTTTTAACTGTGCTCTGTAAAGCTTGTCCAACCTCACAGTAGTAGAATGTGTACACACAACAGAGTAGAACTATGAACACATTTGTGGGCGGAGCCTGGAGGGGGCAGTTCCTGTTTGTTTACGTGTGTCCTCTCATATCAGAAGCTGAGGGAGCATTTCAAAATATGAAATTGGATTAATATGTGTAAAAATGAGTTTGTATAAATTCTCTCCTGCTGATTGATCTGTTTTTTCCTGAGTGAATTGGCTCATATTTTATAATAAAATTAATGGAAGGATCCGTATAATCGTCTGTCTTTTAAGAGCTGTTAACAATAACTTTTTAAAGGGGAACTTCTTAAAGTTCCTGTATAATTAAGTGGTTCATATGTAATCAGAGTGGTTCAGAGTGGTTTGGTGTGAAACGCTCTGTTCTAGATAAACTTACAGAGTCAGAACAGTTCACAGTGGTGGTGACAGGAACCAGACGTCCACCTCTAAAAGCTCCCTCACAGAAAGTTCCTACATGAAATGGTTATGAATTCACTGCCTGATGACTGAGACACTGTTTTATGATCGTTTAGAGAACTTAAACTCCATTCATGGTGGAGGGATACATGCAGGGCGCTGTGAGGCAAAATAGTCCCCAAAGAAAACTTATTATTTCAGATTTTCCACTATTTTCCATCATCAACATTCCATATAAACTCAGAAGACTCGTGTAGGTTCACTGGTGGTTTTGTCTATATTTGTGTTGTAGTCATGGCGACCCCTGGTTCCTCTGTATATATCTATATTATCTGAATGTTTACATTTCAGCCACTGAACTATGCAGGAAATTTGGAAATTGGTGGAATTCCTCTAAGATGTTGCCGCTTGGTGGTGTTGGAATGTGTTGGTTCTCAGTGAAAATAAAAAGTATTTATGTTTCAGTGGTTTGGTGCTGCAGGTATGTGGGAAATGAAAACAGCTGCACATGTTTGAGATGTTTTTGTAAACGTGTTTGTTGTCCATCGCTGAGTGAATGTAAACTAACCCTGATTTGAGCTCAGCCTCTTACTGAGGGGATATTTTTACCTTTCTGCATTCTTGCAGTGTAGCTGTGAGGGTGTTTCTGGTTGAACTGGCCAAACTGCATTTCCCTCTGACACACACTGAAACACTCCACACACTCCACACACACTTCCCTCAGTGTGTGTCCTCAGTGTGAGCTGCATGAACACGACAATGATGGTCATTAAAACTGTTAAATGGAATTAAACCACAGCCCGAACATCAGGAGACACAGTGAGTATTAAAGCTACAGGCACAACTAAATTATACTTTATTTACATTTTGAGTTCTTTATTTTAAATACAGTGTATTAAATAATGCCACACGGCACTTATATGATGTTTACAAAAGTGTTGTGTGTTGTTTTTTTGTTGCAAGGTCTCAATTATTCAGTAACTACTATGAATTATTCAGTACTATACCTGCAATGAAAGGAACTACTTTGTGGAAATTGAAAATAGTATTTCTAAGGGAGTGCCAATGACCTGAGGTGTCCCCCAGGGTTCAATTCTTGGGCCACTCTAATTCATACATGCTGTCTCTTGGTCAAATACTACAAGACTATGATATCTTACCACAGCTATGAAGATGACACTCGGATCTACTCTCCCCAAACCACTGTGGTCCCCTTGATTTACTCTGTAAGAGCCTTGAGTTCATCACTAACTGGATGGGATGAAACTTTCTGAAGCTGAATAAAGATAAAACTGATTTTTTTTTTTCAGGACTAGCACTGAGAGGCACAGACTAGCTGCCTGTCTTGACTCGAGAGCCCTAAAGAACTAGTACATAGCCTTGGTGTACTGATGGACTCTGATGTCAGTTTTATCAGTCGTGTTAAAGAACCTCATCAAGATCAGAGATGTTCAGACTAAAGCAGACCTGGAGAACCTCATCCACGCCTTTATTTCTAGCAGGATTGATCACTGTAATGGTCTCTAACTGGACTCCCAAAAAAGACAATCAAACAGCTGGAACAGCTACCAGTCTGTTCTAGAATAGGCTTTAAGGAGCTGTTACTGCTCTGCAATGTCTTAATGGTCAGGAGCAGCGTATTTATCTGACCTGCTCCAGCGATATGAGCCGAGCAGAACTCTCAGATCATTAGGAACTGGTCAGTCAGTCCTGCCGAAGGTGAAGACTAAACATGGAGAAGTAGCGTTTAGATACTGTGCTGCTCTTAAATGGACGCAGTGGACAGAGAGCATTAGAAGAGCCGACACTGGACACTTTAAATCAGCCTGAAAATGATCCTGTTACAGCAGCTTTAACAGTTTAATCACTGTGAGCATTTCTAGGCCCTTTTCCTCTGTAACAGCACTTTATTATCCTGATCTAACGTTTAGTTTTTAATTTGAATATTAACTATTTTTTAAACTAATTTGTTTTAATTATGTTTTAATCATGTTTTTAATTTTTTATTCTTATTTACTGTACTTTTTTGAGCAACTCTGAATTTTCTCCTTTGTAAAGCACTTTGAATGACAGCAGTGTACAAAAGGTGCTGTTTAAATAAACTTGCCTTGCCTTACTATGAATATTTAGTAGCTACTATGAATTATTCAGTGTCTACTATGAATATTCAGTATTTACTATGAATTATTCAATAACTACTATGAATTATTCTTGTCCAGATTAGGCTTTTATTTTTCCTCGTCTCTCTGCTTCAGTCTGAGCTGTTATTTGGATTTATTTTCTTTAAAGATGAAACTGATAATGAATAAATAAACCAGGTTTACTGCTGTTACATTAGAACAGTGTTATGTTGAAGGGCTGAATGTTTGCGATGTTCGTGTCTTTGCTCAGCGATGGAGAACAGAAGAGAACCAGCACAGAGGCAGATGGAGTCTCCACACAGCGTCATACACACTTACTATCAGGGGGACATTAACACTGTGGTGGACGAACACTTCTTCCGCGCTCTGCATAAATCCAACATGCCCAAAGACCTGAGCACCAAGAGCAGAGAGAACCGCAGAATGTCCAAACCTGGTGAGTTAAACCTGCAGGAACTGTTTCTGCAATCCGGAGAACAACAGCTGTTTTAGTTTTGGATGCTTTAAAACTCACGTTTAGCAGCCTAAAGACTCTCCACCAGGGGGAGCTGGCGGCTCACATAGCTTTTTATAAGCTTGAGTGAAAAAGAGGAAACCCAGGATCTCACTAGCACAGGCCTGTTTACAGTCACACACGGCACTTTTACAGTGCTGTGCAAAAGTAAGAGACCCTTCATTTAGTCACTTTCCAGTAAAAACAGCCGTTAAGTACAAGCTATTTGTTTGTGATGGTCTGAATGGGTCAAGGGTCACGCTATGGGTCTGAAAGGATGTGTAGCTGTCAAGAAGAACCTCACTGAGAAAAGGAGACGGACACATCAAACAAAGAAGCTGAACAATGGACTGACCACCCCAGAGTCCAGACCTCAACACCACTGAATGTGTCTGATTACTTCAGAAAATCATCAACCAGCTTCTAAGACTGAACTTTGGAGGTGTGTCTGCAGATTCTTTGAGGAGCTGAAAGTGAGTCTCCTGAACAGAATGGAAGCTGGAATAAAGGTGAAGAGTGACTCACTGACTCACACAGCTGAGAGTAGATTAGCTGTTGTGTAATTTAATCTTTAATTTAATCTTAAATATGAGTTTCCTGATTTTTTTCCTCACACTGAAAAATGAATAACTTGTACTTAATGGCTGTTTTGACTGTAAATGAAGCGAAAGGCCTCTGACGTCTATCCGGTCCTGAAAGGTCCACACTGCCGTTATTGTTGGACTGTTGATGGTTTCTGAGGGGGCGTGCGAACACATTCACAATGCAGTGGAAACACCTCTCATTGACTTTATATATCTTGAACATTCAGCCACAAGAGCGTTAGTGAGGTCAGGTACTGATGTTGGATGGTCAGTTCTGGGTCACTGCAACTCATCCCAAAGGCACTGGATAGAGAGCCATCACTCCAGAGAACACAGTTCCACTGCTCCACAGCCCAATGCTGGGGGGCTTTATATCCCTCTAGCCCACGCTGGGCACTGGGCATGGAGCCCTTAGGGTCATGTGCAGCTGCTCCAGAGTGTCCTGTTCTATTGGTCAGTGCTTTTCTGTGGAGATTAGCAGGGGTGTGTTGATACCAACACTGGTATCGTGTATCAGCCTGGCAGATTGAGCTGCTGAGGTTCTGATTTTCTGTTATACCTAAAGTTGCTGCTCATCCGTAAAAGATCTCCATGTTTGTGAGTTTTTATTTTTCTGGATCGTTTGAGCTCAGCAGCTGCTCTTCACACTGTGTGGAACTGTCCTGATGAATGGACCAACAGAATCACGTAATTAGCTGGAATGAATAATAATAATATTTTAAATAATAATGTATATTTATATTAATTTACATTTAAAAAGTCCAGACAGTTTTCTGGCTCCTGTAAAGTCACCACTTTAGAGATGCTTGTTCTTCTTTTGTTTTTCTGTTTTGGACAGTGACGTCATGTTTTCTGTCTCTTATACTGAAAATCAACAACTTACTTAAGGGCTGTTTTGACTGTAAGTGTAAATGAGGGGTGCTCTGACTTTGAACTGAACTGTACTATATAAGACAACAGTTTTGTTTAACTACACTCTTAAAAAAGATGGTTCTTCAAGGGTTCTTTAGTAAAAACAACGGTCGGTTCTATATAGAACCGTGAACACTCAAAGAACCATCTGCATGCTGAAATGGTTCTCTGCATGGTAAAAGTGTTCTTCAGATTGATGGAGAATGTGTTGTATATGGTTCTATATAGAATCTTTTTAAAAAGGGTTCTATGTAACACCAAAAAAAGGGTTCTGCTATGGTTAAAATGTCAAGCTTGTAACAATAGAAGAACCCTTTTTGGAGCTATATAGAACCATATACAACACATTCTCCATCAATCTGATGGGGAAAAGGGTTCTTTGAGTGTTAATGGTTCTATATAGAACCAAGCCTTAAAGAACCCTAAGAGTGTAGGTCTGTCCTTCAGCAGTAGAAGAGACTTTAAGTTGGAGTATTAACTGAAGGACTCGCTGTAAAGTGTGTAATGTTTAAAATAAAGAATCTGTATCTATGTGGAGCGACAGCGCCCTCTGCAGGCTGAGAGCTCTCATTACTGTAAAGCTGAATGAGTTCACAGCCCTGAGTGACTCAGTGTTCTTCATTATCTTAAAACCACATTTCCTCATTAAAAGGGTGATATAATTGTTAAAGGTTGAAAATGTAGTGCATACAGTCCGTATATTAAATATTACATTTATATTAAATACTAAATTGCCATATATATATATATATATATATATATATGTGTGTGTGTGTGTGTGTGTGTGTATATATATATATATATATACACACACACACACATGTTTGTGCTTAATGAGACCATAGCAGGTTATCACCACCCATTCACACAAGGAGCGTTTCAGCCCAGAGCTCATTTACATTCATCAGATTTAAAAAAACGGTAATAAAAATCTGGATGTCACACTTTTTTCCGAATCTCAGACTTCCCCGCTCCGTCCTCCTGGTCTCCATCGTGGTCCAAAAGTGGATTATCTCCAGGTTCCTCCAGCCTGAGCCAGAGTTCCTCTGCTGAAGAACCGCTCCATCCTCAGGGGGTCATCATGGGTCCACTGTCTGCTGACCCGTGGGTTTACCCGGGCAGACAGGGGTCTGGTTATAACCTCCCCCAGCTGTACCGGCAGCCTGCAGTGCCCACTGGTGGCAGCTCCTCATACCTCCAATTGCTGCACATGGAGCGGCCAGCAGGGGGCATAGTGACCCCAGCCTCCACCAAAACAGAAACAGACATGCAGCTGGAGTGGGCAGCTGGGAACAGCCACAGAGACGCACACGGAGGCAGGACTCACCTGGACACAGGTACAGTCAGAATCTGAATCAGAATCGAGATAGATAGATAGATAGATAGATAGATAGATAGATAGATAGATAGATAGATAGATAGATAGGTGCTAAATAATAAATAAGAAGCAAACCTCAGACATGTAAATAGACCTGACTGGTGGACTACTTTGGGGTAATGGGGCTGATTTTTCGCTGAACTATCGCTTTAAATGTTCTCTTGGTTTGTAGGTATGCGGCTGCCAGAGAAAAGTAAGGATGTGTACTGGTACTGAGAACGCAGAACCGTCCCCTCTACAGGACCAGCTGCTTTAAGAGGGAAAGGTCGCGACCCCTCAGAGACAGAGACTCTTACAGAAGCACTGCTGCATTAATGAAACACACGGAGCTGCAGACCAGGAGATCCAGGAGATCCAGGAGAACATTGTTATTATTATTATTAATATAATTACATGCCACAGATATTTCTATGCAGGTGTCACTTTACTGGAAGATAACGCTCTGATTCCAGTCTCTTCTGTTATGTTCAGCTTCTCTCAACCCCATATTAATCACTCCTCATGCAATAACTCACCATATTAAACAGAGAGTTATTTATATTTTACTATTTTTCTTTTTCAAAAAGTGAAAAAATAAAGAAACAGCGGAGAGTCCTCCACTGGGGCCACGCCCACTTTATCTCCACTCAAACCTTTCAGGTGTTTTAACCAGAGTTTTTCACAGCAGTCTGGAGTAGAAAACTGTCCATTTCACACCAAGGGAAATGTTCTAGATCAGAATCTTCAAATATTCAAGTAATCATAAAAGTGTGAAAAATTGAGGATATTTGATATGCAAATGCGATGTTGTCTAATGTTATACACACACGGGAGAACCATGAGCTGTCTGAATTGTATCCTCCACCAGAGGGCAGTGTAGAGCCTGTATCTTCAGTGTTGCCAGATTGGGTGGATTTTGGTTGGATTTGGTGGGGAAAAAAGTGCTTTGGAGGGAGAACAAATGTTGGGCTGGTTTGTCATGATTTTGGCTGTAAAAAGTATATATAATTATTAATAAACTGCACTTCTTAATAATGCAGCTAATACATGAATAAACTGGACCTCTCTGCACATCCAATCAGTTATCAAAGTTTTGATTGACCTTTGAGTGACTCCTGTTGAGAGAAGGCAGTCGCCCCGTTTAGTTAATCTTTATTTAATGTAATCATCATGCTTGTTTTTAAATTCTGTGAGTATTATATGCTGTTTGAAACACCCAATGGAAAATGATCCAATCAGGATTGTTCTTTCTGGGGTATCCAGGTAGATCCAGCTGAGCTGCTCTCCCATTGGTTAGGACTTCAGGAGCTGGACTGAAGGTCTTAAACGTCAGATTAACTACCAACATCATTAGGAAATTAACCAATCACGCTTTGGTTCACAATGAGTAGGTGGGAATAAAATGTCATTCTAGTTCTTCTGGAGGTTCTAGATAACTGACTGTGATTAAGAGCCATAGTGTAAGCAGTGTTCTGGTTAGTTGTTCGGCGTGTTAAACAGCGACTCTTTACTGAAAGAGTCACTAAAACTGATACCTACAAGATCAGATATCTGATAATGTCTGATACAAGATTCAGATGAAACACACAGAATGACTTTTACAAGATCCAGATATCTGTGTTTATTCTAGAATGGCCAAAAATGTTCTTGTGCACCAGAAAAGCACAGAGGTGCAAACTTTAACTGTAGAGGTGCTTTTTCCTGTTTCTCTCATCAGATCAGAAAGAGCTCATCACTCTGTCCCACATGGAGACACTTGTTTAATCATGCCTGCTGATTGATTATTGATGTCTTGGCTCCTCCTAAACGCTCCTCCATCTGCTCACATTTTCCTGCCCTCAAACCAGATAAATACAAACACGACCCAGTGACACTCGCTGTGATGTATCCACGTATAATCCACGCAGGATAATGTAAAAAACAAGACCCTGAATAACTACATCACAAATCAGACCGTAATGAAGGACAACCATCTGCCACGACTGCAGCCTCAGACTCACTACAACCACTTAATGGATCACTCTCTCATTCCCATGCATTATGTCTACAGTGTGTTCAACAGTGGTTTAAGGTCTGATTGTGAACTTTAAATCAGTTTTTCCAGGTGAAAAGTTTCGTATTTGTACCTTTTCATAACCGAATGTTTTAAACAGAACAGTAAAATAAAAGCCTGGAGGCGAGACGGGGTGTGTGGAGTCAGTACAGCTTAGAACATATCATTTCAGTGGATTATGGTTCAGTTATGTTCCCTGACTGAAGGTACTGAGATGGACCCTTGAGGGTTCCACCCCAGTGACAGGAGGGGCACTGACCCAGAGACAGGTTAGTACCTCTATTTCTGAGAGTGTAGTTCAGAGGTCAGCCACATTTTTCTGTTCTGTTTTCTGTTTTTGCGGCTCTTTTACTGTCCTGTTGCTCCACAGCAGAATCAGATTTGTAGGTAAAAATAAAATAATCCTCCTTTACAGTAAAATAAAGCTCTGCTGATCATTCAACACAGTTTAACAATAAATGGTCTTAAACTCTGGAGTTAATGTAGAACTGCTAATTCACCCTTTAACCCTGAAGATCAGCACAGACTGCTGGTCACCATAGCAACACAGACAACAGTCTCACCTAGCTAGTAGCTAACGAAACAGCAAAGAGAGAGATTTAAGATGAACATCGATAATTTGGAGATGAATGGACTTATTTGTGTTTAAAATCACTCCAGCTGGTTTCCTGATATGTTTAATCTGCAGTGAGAAACTGAAACACTAAGAAGTCATGAAGCTGAAGTCAGTTTCTCATTCACCAGCTTCTTGTTTGAATTCTCCCGTTCCACCTTAAATGGAGCAGCAGTTACATTCAGGCACCTCAGGCACCATTTAAGGTGGAACGGGAAGTTCAAGCTGGCGAATGAGAAGCAACTTCAGCCTCGTAAAAAATCAAATGTTGAGACATTTTGTAAGAAACTGTTCTACTTTTGTGGAAAAGTTTCCTGCTGGAGATGTGAGAAAAGCAGCTGTAGCTGAGCTAAAGCTTAAAGCAGAGCAGAGTAAGTCTTTTAGTCTATATTAGTACATATTTTCAGCGAAGATGGTAAAATGGATATAAAGTATTGCGGCTCTAAAGGTGGTTTGATTCTAATTGAAAGGACAAAATGGCTCTTCTTATCATCTGGGTTGCGATGCCTGGTGTAGGTGCTCAGTGCAGTGATGCAGGTATGGAGAAAAAACAACTGATAGAACAACAGTGTGGGTGTTTTTCAGCCTGTTGATTGTGTAGCTGGAGCTGCTGTTGTGTAATAAAGCACTAATCTGCCATAGGCTGTGTGTTACTGCGGTTTCCCTAATTATTCATTATAGTTATTCATTATAATAACTCATAAAAGCTGATACGAATACAGAGATACAGAGCTGAGATGGCCCGTTGGTCGTGTGTGTTTCAGTGGTTCAGCCAGTCAGATTGAAGGACTGTCTGTTGTATAATTAACGCTGCTTCAGTCCTTGGGGGTCTCGCTCCTGCTGTCGGGGTCTCAGTCTCAGATTAGCTCTGGTTTCTCTCTGATCTCCACCATGTCGGTTCCTGAAGCCGATCTGAGCCGGACGGGTCACAGTGTGGTGGCCGTTTGTCTCGGGATCATCTTCGTTCTGGGGTTTGTGAATAATTTTCTGGTCCTGATGCTCTTCACTCGATTCCACTTCCTCCGGACCCCCATCAACCTCCTCCTGCTGAACATCAGCGTTAGCGACATGCTGGTGTGCGTGTTCGGGACGCCGTTCAGCTTCGCCGCCTCCGTCTGCGGCCGCTGGCTGACCGGACCTCACGGCTGCAGGTGGTACGGCTTCGCAAACACGCTTTTCGGTGAGTTTCAGTGCGAATATTCTCAGGTTTAGTCAGTTAACTGCTGGATTTGGTTCAAACTGCACTCACAAAAAATATTTAACATGAACAGTCCAGATCTTAGATTTACCAGAATTGTGCTCTGATATATTTAAATCCAAGGCGTTATTAGAGATATATAAGCTATATAAGCTAAATATCTACACAATCATCATTTATAGGGCTCTTTCTTTTGGGAGGAGTCTGTCCCAAACCCTAACGTCTAAATTTACACTTCTGAAATTAATACTTACATTTTTTTCTGTTTTTTTTAAAGATCTTTTTTATTTCTTTCAAAGTCAAATTAAAGATTTAGATTTATGAGTTTAATTTTTACATTTTAAAAATGTTGTCCCACATTTTCATCATCACTACCGAAACACTGAGTTTTAGACTGTGGGCGGAGCCTTATTTTAACATTTCAGAGCAGGAAGTGAGGCTGCATCCCTGTCCCTCATGGTCACATGGTGAGCAGTTAGATCCCATTGTTCTGAAGAAAGTGTTTCCCCAAGTTTGAAAATCAGTGTGGAGCATTAAGAATCGCCATATTTTCTGCAGTTCAGCACTTTTTAGTGTTTTAATGTAAAATATGATGATTTTCTGTGTGAACAGCTGTTCAGAGCTGTGTTTGCTGGTCATGAACTGCTGCTTTGAGTTTCTGAGCTCAAAATGAGCTAAAATTGTCACCAAAACAGTCACTACTGAAACAGACACTACTGAAACAGACATTACTGAAACAGACACTACTGAAACAATCACTACCGAAACAGACACTACTGAAACAGACACTACTGAAACAGACACTACTGAAACAGCCAATACTGAAACAGTCACTACTGAAACAGACACTACTGAAACAGTCACTACTGAAACAGACACTACTGAAACAGCCAATACTGAAACAGTCACTACTGAAACAGACACTACTGAAACAGCCAATACTGAAACAGTCACTACTGAAACAGTCACTACTGAAACAGCCAATACTGAAACAGTCACTACTGAAACAGTCACTACTGAAACAGCCAATACTGAAACAGACACTACTGAAACAACCAATACTGAAACAGTCACTACTGAAACAGTCACTACAGAAACAGACACTACTGAAACAGACACTACTGAAACAGTCAAAACTGAAACAGACACTACTGAAACAGACACTACTGAAACAGTCAAAACTGAAACAGACACTACTGAAACAGACACTACTGAAACAGTCACTACTGAAACAGTCAAAACTGAAACAGACACTACTGAAACAGACACTGCAACTGAAACAGCCAATACTGAAACAGACACTACTGAAACAGACACTACTGAAACAGTCACTACTGAAACAGTCAAAACTGAAACAGACACTACTGAAACAGACACTACTGAAACAGACACTGCAACTGAAACAGTCAAAACTGAAACAGACACTACTGAAACAGACACTACTGAAACAGTCACTACTGAAACAGTCAAAACTGAAACAGACACTACTGAAACAGACACTGCAACTGAAACATTTGGTAAAGTTTGGTAGTTATGATTGTTTTGGTAGAGACAAAATAGAATGTTCAGTCATTTGTTTTAATAAAATAACCATAACTGAACTGTTCACAGTGGTGGTGATAGGAACCAGACGTCCACTTCTAAAAGCTCCCCCACAGAAAGTTCCTACATGAAATGGTTATGAATTCACTGCCTGATGACTGAGACACTGTTTTATGATAGTTTAGAGAACTTAAACTCCATTCATGGTGGAGGGATACATGCAGGGCGCTGTGAGGCAAAATAGTCCCCAAAGAAAACTGATTATTTCAGATTTTCCACTATTTTCCATCATCAACATTCCATATAAACTCAGAAGACTCGTGTAGGTTCACTGGTGGTTCTGGATAGTAAATAAAATGTCTATATCTGTGTTGTAGTCATGGCGACCCCTGGTTCCTATCACCACCACTGTAAAGACATCTGAACCATTTCACACCAAACCTCTCTGAATCACTCTGTTTACACACACTGAATTATGGGGGATTTGTGTGCGAGTCTGTGCTAAATCCATGTGTAAAGCTGGCCTCGTCCAGCAGATGGCGCTGCAGTGCTATAAATGGGCAGCAGAATTCACTGAGAGGCCATGAACTGACCCTCAGTTAATGAGAGAATCTGTAATAAACAGTTTTATTTAGATCTGCTGTAGTTTATGATGACTGACTCATTAGAATACAGGCAGTAAGAACAGCCCAGGTCACTGTACAGATCATGTTCAACACATCATACAAAAACACCCTTCAGTCCAACACAGTCCTTTAGTTACATGTAACACATTGTGTGAAAATTCAGTGATGAATGGACCCACAGAAATGTACCAACATTATCGGGAATAAACTTAAACTCTGTACATCAACTTTAAAAGTAAGAATGTTTTTATCCTCCACTGTAAAGTTTTAGATAAGGATATTTTTGGATGCGACAATGTGTGAATTTTAGAACAAATACCTACACCACGTACAAAATGTTTATGTCTTTAGCTGTTTTGCTTCTTCCTGAGTCATTTAAACAAACGGCTCTATATAGAACTCATGGTTCTAAATAGAAACTTTTCTTTTATTAAAGAACCCTTGAAGAACCGCCTTTTTAAACAGTGCAGTCTTAAACTAAATTGTAATATTAATGGTGATTTACTGCTGAAAGCGTTTTTAGTCTTAGATTAATCTTAATCTGATTCTGCTTTGTCGTCTGTTTATTCATTTTATATTATGATTGTGATGTTTTTTGCTTATTTCTTCTTTGTTTGTTTGTGTTTTTGTAAAGCTTTCAAAATGACCAGTTTAAAAAACCTTATTGAAAAGGACAGGAAATACCTGCACATTTATACCTGCATATTTATACCTGCATATTTATACCTGCATATTTATTTCTGCATATTTTCTGTCTTAAATATAGTGAGTGTTATCAGAGCTTTAACTTCCTGTTTCGGTTATTAAACTGTACTGGTCTGGTTGCTCCATCTGACTGACTGGTTGTGCCGCCTGACTTTTCAGACTAATTTCAAATTAAACAGGCATCTACTTAGACGCCCGTAGAAACCTTTATTCTTCAACTTGAGTTTATACTTAAAATTTTTCAAATAAATAAACTTTATTATAATAATTCCACATTTTCATGGTTCTCCTGAGGTCAGACCACCTGACATGGTAAACTGAACCGTTCTAGCCGTGACTCAAACATCACACTTTACTATATCTGTGACATTGGCGCTGCACCATGAAGGTCACTTGGGGTCTTCTTTATGATGCAGTACCCTGGCCCCTCTTTCGTAAAAGCGTGTCAAAGTAAAAGTTCTTTGTTTTTGGTTGTGCTGCCTGGTATTTTAGGAAGTAAGAACTTGTGAACAAAAGTTTTTCAGTGAGTTGAGCACTTTTAAAATTGCCTTAACTTGGAACTTGGTTTTTATTTTAAGGTTTTCAAACATAAATCAAACTATTTTCTTTAGAATTTTATAAATAAATTACCTTTTTGATAGTTTACTTAATTAACATTGGACAGTTGCACCGCCTGGCATTTTTAGAATTTTGAAGGCAAAAAGAAACTGAAATTTTATATGTATGGACCAAAAATTCCCATAAAAGTTTCCCATAAAAAAAGAGATATTACTGAACAATTTGATACATGTAAATATTTATTTATTAAATTATTTTTTGGGAAAATAATGGGCTTGAACACAAAAAATGCACATTATGTAAATGACCCATAAATAATAATAATAATAATAATAATAATAATAATAATAATAATAACAATAATACTAATAATTTATAATAATAATTATCATATTTATTATTATTATTATTATTATTATTCAGAGTCAAGCACATTTAGATGTTTTTGGTGAAGGACAGTGGGCTGTGTCCTCTCACCTGTGCAGGTGTGGTCTCTCTGGTGTCTCTGGCGATCCTCTCGTACGAGCGGTGCTGCTCCATCCTCTGCGGCTCTAAAGTGGACGTGCTGGATCACAGGAAGGTCAGGCTGTCCATCGCGGGCTGCTGGGTGTACTCTCTGATCTGGACGGTTCCTCCTCTCTTCGGCTGGAGCGGTTACGGCCCCGAGGGACCCGGGACCACCTGCTCGGTTCGGTGGGCCCTGCGGACCCCCGAGAGCAGAGCCTATATCGTCTGCCTCTTCATCTTCTGCCTGGTTCTGCCTCTGCTGACCATCATCTTCTGCTACGGGAAGATCCTCATCACTGTACACGGGGTGAGGCGCCCACTGCTCTTCTGGTTCCCTAAAGGACCAGAACCAGAAATCTGTAAAGAACTTTTCAAAGGTTTATAGAACCTTCGCATAGTGTAAATGTTTTTTGCCAACTAAATGGTTCTAGCACTGTTACATCAGGGGCAGATTCTTTAAGGCTTGTAAAGCTTCTTCCATTCGTTGAAAGTTTCCAAAAATGGTTCCTCTATGGCCTTTTTTTAAGAGTGGAGGGCTCTTTGGTTCTAAATAGAACCATATACAACACATTCTCCATCAATCTGAAGAACCATTTCACTGTAAAAAAAACATGTAAGCATGCAAATGGTTCTTGGCTCTATATATAGAACCATTCTCTGTACTAAAGAACCCCTGAAAAACCATCATGTTTAAGACAGTGGTTAGCTCAGTTATCAGGGTCTGATTACGAGACGATGTGCTTCTCTCAGAAAGACTGTCTGACAGACAAAAGATCAGGTTTTTAAAATCAGAGCCTTTTCAGCTTTAAGGTTTATTAATCTTTTACAGTTTTGGGTCAAAAGGAACGAAAATGTGTTACTCTTGTATTTATTTGTGTGTTTATGGTCATTTCCAGATCACCGACAGTCAGAGACAGTGATGTGGCTGGAGGCTCGTTGTTGATTTGAGCTTCATTGTTATTCCAGATGTTTCCCTGCAGGCTGAGTCACTCAGACTGAGACACTCTTCACCTCCTGAAGTCTTCACTCCACACCATATGCCAGATGTTTACAGATGTTTACAGACGTTTAGTCTGTAAACAGTGATGTCTTAGCATGTGAACTCATCTTAAACACAGGCAGATATGTAACGTTCCTCAGTGTGCAGTGTTTATAAGATCTGGTGTTATTTCAATTATTATAGTGTTTATTATATTATATTGTACATTTAATTATATAATTAATAATAATTATTATTTATATAATAATAATCTTTATTATATTGGATTTTAGTATATTATATTTTTTTATTATATAGGATAATAATATTATTATTTATTTATATGCTTTTTATTTATATACATTTATATACATATTATCTTTGTACGACCTGGTATTATATATATTTTCACTTTTAAATGATTTAATATGAGTTTATATTCCTGCACTGGGGTATGATATATAATCTGTCTTGATTGAGGAAATAATGCTTAAAATAAGACGCAGGTGATATCCAGTAATATGGTTTATGAGATATGACTGTAGCGTAATGCTTCTGTCAGCTCGTATCAGAGTTTATTGATTATTGGCTCTGATTTAGTGGCTCTGCTGATGAGCTCCTGAGTGTAAATCTGCAGGATGGATTGTGCTGCTAATTCTGGAGAGCAGAATGAATTAGTGAATTACTAACGAACTGAACTCATTAAAAAGCTGTAATAGATGTTTGATGATGCTCTACAGGAACGCCTGAACGAGAGACTGAAGAACAAAGAGAACAAAATGAAGTAAAAGGCAGCGCATTAATTATACTGACTCTGTTTTTTACCAGTTTCCCAAAATTCCCCCATAATCCAGCCTGTGAGGTGTAACAGATTCATGGTGCTTTGCTATGAAATAACTGTGTTCAATAAACAAATCTGTGAAGAACCTTTCAAAGGTTTAAAGAACCTTCACATAGTGTAATGGTTGTTTGCCAATGTGATGGTTCTAGAACCTTTACATCATGTGGAGATTCTTTAAGGCTCATAAAGGTTCTTCTATTCATTGAAACGTTCCAATAATGGTTCCTCTACAGTCTTTCTTTGAGGGCTGTAATGATCTGCATGATACAATTTCTAATTGGCACCAATTGTGTTTGATTTATGATATTTTCTAAATCGTCTAGAACGTTCTTGGTTCTACTTCTTGGTGTTATAATTCTGTTCTACAGGTCAGTTTGGTTCAGATAAATCAAATTTCTCCAGTAGAACTTCAATAAAATAACGAAGTAACCCTCCAAAAATAAGCTCTTCAGAAAGACTGCCCACTCATTTAAATGTGGGTGTGTCCACAGCAGAACCCCTCCCCCTCTAATAGGCTGCGCCCAGATATAGATCTTCAGTAATGAGGTTTATGAGATACGAATGTAGCGTCACGCTTCTGTCAGCTCGTATCTGAGTTTATATATTACTGGGTTTGATTTAGCAGCTCTGCTGATCCTGAACTCAATCAGAGAGATTCAGAGTGGTTTGGTGTGAAATGGTTCAGGTGTCTTTACAGTGGTGGTGATAGGAACCAGGGGTCGCCATGACTACAACACAAATATAGACATTTTATTTACTATGCAGAACCACCAGTGAACCTACACGAGTCTTCTGAGTTTATATGGAATGTTGATGATGAAAATAGTGGAAAATCTGAAATAATAAGTTTTCTTTGGGGACTATTTTGCCTCACAGCGCCCTGCATGTATCCCTCCACCATGAATGGAGTTTAAGTTCTCTAAACGATCATAAAACAGTGTCTCAGTCATCAGGCAGTGAATTCATAACCATTTCATGTAGGAACTTTCTGTGAGGAGCTTTTAGAGGTGGACGTCTGGTTCCTATCACCACCACTGTGAACAGTTCCCCAGCTTGAATTTTTTTGTTTTAAAAACATTCAGAGAATATTACAAACATTTTCTGTTAATGTTTTCACTGGGAAGTTTTTTGTTCTCAGAATGTTCTTTTTAAAGGAAAGCTCATCATAGAACATCATAGAACATGATATGTGGCTCTAACAGCATCCTCACAACATCCAACATCCCACCTTATAGAAACATTTTTTAAAATGATAAACATCCTCGAAATGTTCTTTGAACATTACATGAAAACATTTAAAGCTGATTAATCCGCTTTGTGCTGAAGGCCGGTGTCTCTTCTCGTTCCTCAGGCGGCTAAAGTGCAGCAGACCACCGCCCAGTGGAGGGAGGGCCGTGTTCTGCTCATGGTTCTGATCATGGTGTCCTGCTATCTGCTCTGCTGGCTGCCATATGGAGTGGTGGCACTGTTGGGTACGTTCGGGCCATCCGGCACAGTCAGCCCCACCGCCAGCATCATACCGTCTGTACTGGCCAAAAGCAGCACCGTCCTCAACCCCATCATTTACGCGTTCTTCAACAAACAGGTACAGAGTGCAGAGTTAGAACTTACATAGAACCATAACTGCAAATATACTTAAAAGAAAAGCTCAGATTTATTTACTTTAGCTCCTTCTCAAACATACACTCTTAAAGGAGGTGGTTCTTCAAGGGTTCTTCAGTACAGAAAATGTATGTCTATGTAGAACCATGAAAACTCAAAGAACCCCTTGCATGATTAAAGCGTTCTTCAGATTGCTGAGAATATGTTGTAGATGGTTCTATACAGAGTTCTATGTAGCACCAAAAAGGGTTCGTCTGTTGTCATGATATCAAGCTTGTTAAGTTGTCCCACCTTAACATTCCACCTTAATATTCCAGCCTAACATACCACCTTAACATTCCAGCCTAACATTCCACCTTAACATTCCAGCCTAACATACCACCCTAACATTCCAACCTAATATTACAGCTTAAAATTCCACCTTAACATTCCAGCCTAACATTCCACCTTAACATTCCACCCTAACATACCACCTTAACATTCCACCTTAACATTCCAGCCTAACATTCCACCTTAACATTCCAACCTAACATTCCACCTTAACATTCCAGCCTAACATTCCACCTTAACATTCCAGCCTAATATTCCACCTCAATATTCTATCCTAACATACCACCTTAACATTCCAGCCTAACATTCCACCTTAATATTCCACCCTAACTTACCACCTTAACATTCCAACCAACATTCCACCTTAACATTCCAGCCTAACATTCCACTTTAACATTCTAGCCTAACATTCCAGCCTAATATTCCACCCTAACATACCACGTTAACATTCCACCCTAACATTCCACCTTAACATTCCAGCCTAACATTCCACCTTAATATTCCACCCTAACATACCACCTTAACATTCCAACCTAACATTCCACCTTAACATTCCAGCCTAACATTCCACCTTAATATTCCACCCTAAAATACCACCTTAACATTCCAACCTAACATTCCACCTTAACATTCCAGCATAACATTCTGCCTTACCATTCCAGCCTAACATTCCACCTTAATATTCCACCCTAACATACCACCTTAACATTCCAACCTAACATTCCACCTTAATATTTCACCCTAACATTCCACCTTAACATTCCAGCCTAACATTCCACCTTAATATTCCACCTTAACATACCACCTTAACATTCCAGCCTAACATTCCACCTTAACATTCCAACCTAACATACCACCTTAACATTCCAGCCTAACATTCCACCTTAATATTCCACCCTAACATACCACCTTAACATTCCAACCTAACATTCCAACCTAACATTCCACCATAACATACCACCTTAATATTCCAACCTAACATTCCACCTTAACATGCCAACCTAACATTCCACCTTAACATTCCACCATAACATACCACCTTAATATTCCACCTTAACATACCACCTTAACATTCCAGCCTAACATTCCACCTTAACATTCCACCCTACCATTCCACCTTAACATTCCAACCTAACATACCACCTTAACATTCCAGCCTAACATTCCACCTTAATATTCCACCCTAACATACCACCTTAACATTCCAACCTAACATTCCACCTTAACATTCCACCATAACATACCACCTTAATATTCCAACCTAACATTCCACCTTAACATGCCAACCTAACATTCCACCTTAACATTCCACCCTAACATACCACCTTAACATTCCAGCCTAATATTCCACCTTAACATTCCACCCTAACATACCACCTTAACATTCCACCATAACATACCACCTTAACATTCCAGCCTAATATTCCACCTTAACATTCCACCCTAACATACCACCTTAACATTCCAACCTAACATTCCACCGTAACATTCCAGCCTAACATTCCACCTTAACATTCCACCTTAACATTCCAGCCTAATATTCCACCTTAATATTCCACCTTAACATTCCAACCTAACATTCCACCTTAACATTCCAGCCTAACATTCCATCTTAACATTCCAGCCTAATATTCCAGCCTAACTGCCCCCCTTCTTCATTTCATAGAAAAAACCACAGGATATTTTAAGATATAATTACTTTTGAACGGAAATGTGCGGAGTTTTTGCTGGTCAGTCTGCTGTTCCCGACTCTCACGGTTCACTCGGGGTCGTTATTGCTAAGGATGTGGGTCGTTTCAGGACACAGGCTTTTCACACTAATGACAGATTTGAGTCACTTACCTACACGACTGTGAATCGTCCACTTAGAAACCTCAAATCTGAGCAAAAAATCAGAAAAGAGCAATGAGGCCTGTGATGTGAGTGTAGCCTTAGTGACCACTGCAGCTGTTTTATTGACGACACACTAGTAAATGTTTCCCACTAGTGAATATGAGACCATGGGGTTCACGAGTGCTCATCTCTCAAATACAATATTTCTGACACAACTTAATTCATAGTGTCAGTTATCAGTGCTTGTTAGCTGCATTAGCCTCGTAGCTCCAGTGCAGGAGGCAGCTTCATTTATGAGCAAGGGGGGGATTGTACAGGTTAGATTTTTGATTGAGCTGCTTGTCTGAGGTTTAGTTAGTTTGTGTCCTGTGTGGCTGTAACTGAAGCTCAGATATGCTCTCTGCAGGATTAGCTTTAGCTGTGCTCCCAGCAGGGCTGATAGAGGCCGAGCGGTCATGTTCAGTTAAATCAGCTACAATGTCAGACTGGGAGTCATTCCAGCCGTTCAGAGTCAGAGTCCGAGAGTGAAAGTCCACTTTAAAGCAACAGTTAAATCCAATCAGCGTTACTCTGACACAGTCACGCTAATCAGCGTCTACTGGCTGCCATGGCATCGTGTTCAGTGGAGCTGTTACTGTCTGAGGGGCTATATGGGGGTCCACACTTCGTCCTCACTCTCACACTACAGAACATATACATCAGTTTCATAGTACATTCTTAGTAATGAGGCTTAAAATGTTTACGTTAGTAATGTACCTGATGCAGATGTGCGGTGCTGATTGTGTCCTGCGGCTGATAATCTGACCATCGATACGGCTCAATACATCAACCAGCCGCTGATAAACTACATCAGCTCATCTCTGAAACGCAGCCAAAATCAATATCCACACTCACGTCTGACTGATAATAGCCAACTTATCCTGCTTTTCCCTTGAGACGCTGCAGCCGTTAGCACTCTTAATCTTCTTAAAATTGTTCAGTATCTGTTGTGACTTATTTGGTATCTTCTATTAATTATTCAGTATCTGCTATAAATTATTTAATACCTACTATGAATTATACTGTGTATACTATATTATATATGCTATGAAACTAATGTGAGTTCTGTAGTTATGAGAGCGAGAAATTGAGATATGGGCCCTCATGTGGACCCTTAGAGTTTAAGGGGCTAAACAGGCTTAACTGGCTGTTTTGTTTTTTGTTTTTTTCACACAACAGTATATTATGTTTTTTCCTTGTGATGTAACGTTGTTTACTGTATGTGTGTCAGTTCTACAGGTGTTTTCTGGCGTTGGTGAAGTGTGAATCAGGATCTCCGTCACTCCACACACTGCACAAACTCCACACTCAACCCAGCAGCTGTACAGATGGTTCTGCACCCAACGGCATCGCCCTGGGGCTGTACAGAGACCCCTCACCCGCCGACAGTCCGAAACGTCCACATAACTCTGGAACAACCACCAGCGCTCAGTGTAGCGCCCCCCAGAGGAGCAACACAGCTTTAGAGCTGGAAGCACGAGTCACCCCCTAACTCAGCCCATAGTCTTAATTTGATCCAGACCACCAGGGGGCGCACACAAACAATTATCACAAAACATAAAATGTTGTCTTTTCAGATTTCGGCTTCATTCAGAACCAGTTGGAAAACAAACTCATGCTATTTGACTGTAAACCAAGAAATGATCTGTAAACTGTGCTGGAGCGAGTGCAGAGGTTAAAGGTCACTGTTACATGAGTGTTAGTCAGGAATATCAGGAGGACTAAGAGAAAAGAAAAAAGCACCGCTTTGTCAAAGTTGAGGGTCAAATCCACGTGCAGGACGCTGACCTCACACTAGCGTGCTAACATAAACACGGAGGTGAATAACACTGTTATAAGCTGCTGTTTATTTAGCCTGTTTCTCCCTCTTCTAGCAAAAAAGTCCCTCCACAACAAACGATGGGTCACAGCCCCTGTAAATACGTGGTAAGGTGAGCTAACGGTTCTGTACCTTTCCCTCAACCCTGGTCCTCGGCTAGGTCAGCCTCAGTGAGCTAACCAGCTAGCCATGCAAACTTGCGAAAAGTTATCATAACGTAATGTACATAAACTTTGTAGTATTTTTGTTATAATAGCTTTGTCTGGCTATAAACTTTGGTACGTTGTCGTTCGTTTGAGTCAGCTAGCAGAGTAAAGTGATGAAGCTGTATCAGCAGCTGTATAAAACAGATGGAGCGAAATAAACTCAGAAAATCGAATGTTACGGTTTTGAAATATTAGGCATTTTAACATAATTCACCGCTATGGCTTATAAACAGCTTTATCTGGGATTATTCTGGGGTTTGAAAAGGGATTCGTGTCAGATTGCAGCGGTTTTGGAAAGTAGTGATGAAGATAACGGAGCATTTTGATATGAAACACATGAGGATCATGTTATATGAAGAGCCTTTAAAGGAGAGTTTAAGAAGAGAGGAACACATGGAAGATGACCTCATGTGTTGTGTTTTGGATGCTGGTATGCTGGTCAACCAGTATGACCACATTGAGTGACCATCATAAACCAGCATGCAGGAATAAAATGTGTAATGCAAGCTTTTCATAATAAACTACAGCAGCTGTTCGCTGATCTTCAGCTGCGTCTTCTGGCCAGCAGATGGCAGCAGTGACTCGGCCGTGGACGAGGCCGGAGGGCGGTGATGTGACTTGGACCAATGCACTAAAAAACAAAAACACTGCAGAGAGCAAATGATTGGGAGCTAATGGGGCCGAGTCCGTGTGTTCACACCCCTCTACGAGTGAATCTCCACACCTTAGGCCTTTAGGAGAGGAGTGTGAACCTCTTTAACTCTATTAGGAGGTGAATCTGCTGACTGAAACTCTCAGACCTGCTGCTCATCATCTACCAAGAGACTGCAGATGAAATCAGGAAGGAAAACTGAGTCTTATCTCTGATAAACAAACAAACGAACGAATGAATGAACGAATGAATGAATGAACGAATGAATGAATGAATGAACGAATGAATCAATGAATCAATGAATGAATGAATGAATGAACGAATGAACGAATGAATGAATGATTGAATGAATGAATGAATGAATGAATGAATGAACGATTGAATGAATGAATGAATGAATGAATGTTCCCCATGACTGAATGGTTCCTCAAATGGCCTGCTCTCCTTCTGATTGGCTGCCAGCAGGTTTTCAATACAGCCTACATCACTTCATTCGCAGGCTGCAGTTCTACCATCTGACCAGAGAGGGCAGTAGTGTAATTAAAAATTAAAATCACCCTTTTCCCAGGAGAGTATTTCATATATTTTGCTTATTCACACCTAAACACGCCCCAGCCTGCCTGCATGAGTCCTGCTGGATGTTCATGTCTCAGTGGGGCTGTTGAAGCCAGACTGGGTCAGTTTTGGTGGATGAGCTGTAGAGTCTGTGTGTCAGAGCTTCATTAGCACTCTGTGTTCTCTTCACTTGATGGCAAAAATGGCTACTGCAGAACACGTTCTCCCACAATGCAGAGCAGACCTGCACACTTTAATGACTGTGATTATGATGTGCTCCTCTGTACAGAGGCAGTGACTGATTGGTTGATTGGTTTGTGTGAAAGCTGCATCCTGGATCAATGAACTGCTGTGTGTATGTAATGCATAATCTCCATTAAACGTATAGTAAACGTGTTGAGGGTGATTTGTGTGTTTTATCAATCGATTTGGTCCGAGCGGTCAGCAGCGTGTCTCGTCGTCCATCTCCAAACTGGATGCGAAAGTGCAAAAGGTCAGCGGGAGATTAATTGGATCATGCAGCAGTCAGATCCTGTCAGATAATTTATGTATATTTTATTTGCCGCTGCTCTGGGCCGATAGGTCAGCTGTGGGCTTTTATCCCGTCAGCCCACAGACTTACGCTTTAATGAGCACCGGTTCAGAGTTCTGAGGGTTCATCTGTGTTTCAGAGGAGCTGATTGTTGATCGCTGTGAATTGCAGATCTGCCTGATTTCATTACGCTCTGTCGTTGTTGTTGTTGTTGTTTCCTTTCCTGGCATTATTTAGCTGCCGTTTCTGCACTATTGATTAGCATCATCCTTGAACCAGGGCCGTGTGTTCTGCTGATTGATTAGCTCAGGGGAGTGGCAGTGTGTGTGTGTGTGTGTGTGTGTTGGTTTTTTTTTAGGACAAAAATGGTGCTGATTTAGTGATGTGCTGAGATTAAGATTAGGATCAAAATTAGTTGTATACATAAATGTGCAAATATACTACATTCATATATGATACATATGGCACACATTATTATTACACACAGATAATTGCATATATGTAATACATATGGAGCATATTATTACATACAAGTACTTACATATATAATACACATGAGATAAATTATTACCTATAGGTATTTACATGTATATAATATACATGGGACATTACGTACAGGTACTCATAATACATAATACATAATACATATGGGACATTAGTAGTCCATATAGATACTTATATATACAATACACATGGGATATTGTTATTATACACACAAATTATTACATATAGTTACATACATATAAATACACATGGGACATTATTATCACATGTAAGGACTTACATAAATATATAATACATATGGGACATATTATTATTACCTATAGGGACTTTCATGTGGGACATATGTACGGCCTTGTGTCCTGTCATTATATGGTATGGGAGGGTGAACTCAGCTGTCCGTCTGTGGAGAGCGGCCCTGATTGGGATGCATCTAACAGGCCAAGCGCTGCTGAGGGTGAGGTGCGCTCACCGTGTCCAGCGTATGGTGTACGTGCACACCTGCATGCTTACATTATACATGTCCTTAATGCTGTACAGCACAGTGAGGGCCTAAAACGGTCCGAGAGAGCCGAGCGGTTGGGCACTTTTCCAGAGCTTTAAAAATGTATAAAACAAACCCAGAAACAGCAGCAGGTCTGATTTTAGCGTGAGCTCACTGGAGTGCATTTTAACCCCCGCTGCGCTGCTCAGCACCGTCAGGCTTTCGGCGTCGCTTTATAAGAGCTTTTTCATTCTGATTCTCATTATTTATTTCTCCCTGCAGAAAGTGTGATGGATATTGGGCAGTGTGTGAGTGTGTAGTGTATATACAGTACTGTGCCACCCTTATTTATTTAATGTCCAGTAGAAACAGTTATTAAGTACAAAGCACTGATAAGATCAGACTGAGGAGATTAGTGATAAGATAGTCCACTTACAAAAGTAAATGGAAAGTCAAAGTGAGAAAAGCAGGAGTTTACAAAAGTTTAAAAACTGATTAAAAGCTACAGAGAAAATGTGGCTCCTAACAACCACCTGGAAGACTTGGTCGACCCCAAAACTGCCCCCATCAGATAAACAGCACTTAAAGCTTTCATCTCTGAGAGAGAGGAGAAAATCAAGCTGATCAGATCTGAAAACATCCACAGGTGTTTCTGTCCATCCTTCCACTGTGAGAAGACGACTCAGCGCTGTGGGTCTGAAAGGATGTGTAGATATCAAGAAGAACCTCACTGAGAAAAGGAGACGGACACATCAAACAAAGAAGCTGAACAATGGACTGACCACCCCAGAGTCCAGACCTCAACACCACTGAATGTGTCTGATTACTTCAGAAAATCATCAACCAGCTTCTAAGACTGAACTTTGGAGGTGTGTCTGCAGATTCTTTGAGGAGCTGAAAACAAGTGTAGTATATACAGTGTAGTAAATTTACATTGTGTATAGTGTATTTACATTGCGTTTAGGGCATATATACAGTGTGTAGTGTACATATAGTGAGTGTAGTGTATATACATTGCATATAGTGTATATATACAGATATATATATACAGTGTGCATAGTGTATATACAGTGTATGTAGTGTTTACACCATGTGTGTAGTGTTTACACGGTGTGTGTATTGCCTGCACGTATCTGAGCCATTTCCCCTGCACACACACACTCACTCACACCTGCCCGGGAACCCAGCGCTCGACGCCATGGCAACCGCCGCAGCCACCCCCCACCCCCCCTCCATCAACATCAGAGCCTCCACGGCGGGGCTCGGAGTGAAAACAGAACAGATGAAGACTTCAGGCTCCACAGGGTCTGTTCCTGCAGGACCACCACTTTAATTTATCATTTCATTTATAATCCTGACAATAATCTCAAAGCTGCCTGCAGCGAGTCTTCCTGAGAGCTGCTTCCTCTCAGCCTGTGATGTGTTCAAATACAGTGCTAATAAGAACCAGATCTGCACGCCGTATTTATTTGCTGTGTAACGATTCACTAAATTCAGAATCCATTCGATACGGTGGCGTCTTGATTCGTTACAGTTTTTAATACAGCAAAGAAGAAGACTGTATATGTTAAAACAGTAATGTTTTCAGTTTATTCCATCAGTATAATATCAGAGACTTCAGCTCAGCCTGATCCATTCAGACGGCTTTATTAGCAGCACAGAAACACTAAACAAAACTGCCCCTTATAGAGCTTCAAACTAACACAGGCCACAAGCTTATAGGTCAGCTTCAAGCTAACACAG